TCCAAAGAAAATACTTTAAGACTGTCAAATCTTATCTTTTATTTATTGAACAGAAAAAAAAAAAAAATCAACACAATGCATTTATTTAGTTTTGGTTTATTTATTTAGGGTCAGCACTTTTGAGTCCCTGTTTTAGACCTGAGGTAGACCTGTATTAGACCTGAGGTAGACCTGTTTTAGACCTGAGGTAGACCTGTTTTAGACCTGAGGTATACTTGTTTTTGACCTGAGGTAGACCTGTTTTAGACCTGAGGTATACTTGTTTTTGACCTGAGGTAGACCTGTTTTAGACCTGAGGTAGACCTGTTTTAGACCTGAGGTAGACCTGTTTTAGACCTGTTTTAGACCTGAGGTAGACCTGTTTTAGACCTGTTGTAGACCTGAGGTAGACCTGTTATAGACATGAGGTAGACCTGTTTTAGACCTGTTGTAGACCTGAGGTAGACCTGTTTTAGACCTGAGAGGTAGACCTGTTTTAGACCTGAGGTAGACCTGTTTTAGACCTGTTGTAGACCTGAGGTAGACCTGTTTTAGACCTGAGGTAGACCTGTTTTAGACCTGATGTAGACCTGAGGTAGACCTGTTTTAGACCTGGTTAAATGCAGTCCTGCTTAAAGCCACATTCAGCCTTTCTTTAAATCACCATTTGACCATTGAGACTCACCCAGCCAGAGAGAAAGACCAGAGATTATTTCACCACAAAAGGAGGAAAAGAACAAACTCTATGAGCCCCCTGCTGTCTTTAAATACTCTATCATCCTCTCCTCTCTCCTCCTCCTTTCCTCTCCTCTCCTTCTTTCCTCCTCTCCTGTGTCTGCTGTGGTCTGGGCTCTCTGTGGTCGTCAGTACAACAATAATCCACCTTAATCCAAACACTCAAACTCCACGTCTCCACGGTAACACAAACCCTAATGAGCCTTATCCCACATGTGGTCAAAAGAACTCTGTGGTCAGTCTGAAGGGAGGGAGGGAGGAAGAAAGGGGGGGAGAGAAGAGGGAGAAGTAAAGGAAAGAGAAATATTGAGGGAAGGAGAGAGATATTCTGGAGGAGAGAAAAGAAAAGAGAGGGGGTAAGAAAGCAAAAAGAGAGGAGAGGGGGAGTTAAAGGGGGTCAGTTAATAAAGACATAAAGGGTAGGGTGAGTTAAGACGGGCGAGGGAGGCAAAGAGAGGAAAGGAGGGAGGGCTAGAAAGAGGGACAGACACCTCTTGGTCTCTGGTCTGAGCTCTGAGCAATGAGTGGTCTTTGGTCTTTGGTCTTTGACTCAGTCCTCTTCTGTTTTCAGTTGGTTTGGACTTTAAACTGGAGGAGCTCAGCTGGAGTCTGAGAACAACTTGGAAGGAAAACAGAGAGAAGCTACAGGGAGGAGCACAGAGACTGATTAAAGACGGAGATTACACTTGGGGATTAACTGTTAACACACAACATAGATCACCATGTTCACATTCATGTGTTTTGAAGATGTTCGCCAAAAACAAAGTATTAACATTTTTATTAACTTTAACATTTTGATGTTAAGGAATCCTCTGTGATTCTGGCACCACAATGATAATAAAAACACTTTTATTATTATTTTAAACACTTATTTAGACAATAGAATGTGATTTTCCACATTAAATGATAAAACTTCTTCTTTCTATTCCCATCTGGTTTTACAGACATTTGTCACAAAGCCGCTTTACAGTTCATTATTCCTTCACTCCACACTCAGTGGTGTAAGCTACTACTGTAGCCACAGCTGCCCTGGGGCAGACAGACTGAAGCACGGCTGCCACCACTTAAGACTGAAGGTTCTGCGTCAACTCAGTGCACTCTGCCTTTTTTTAAAGTTATGGATCTGCAACGAGGTCTGTGCGCCGCAAAGTAATTCACCGCCACAATGCTCGGAAGAGGATTGTGTTTGTTGTGTTTGTTGTGTTTGTTGCAGTCGTGTTTGCAAAATGAAGTGGGAAAGAAATGTGTGGAAACGTGTGTAGAGCGGCTGTAGAGAGGACCAATCACAGCCCTTGCTGTCTGCGTCGCTTCAACACATAGTTATAAAATGTCGGAGGTGCACGTTGGTGGATGCAGACGCTCTGGGGAGGGGCTTCAAGGTGACGCAGAGAGATTTGACACACAACCATAAATTGGGCTTCACGCACCCACCACTTTCATACTAAGCAATGTGGGTGAAGTGCCTTGCCTAAGGACACAATGACAGTTTTTACGACCAGCGCCCATTCTAAAGCTTCATTTCTGTCCTGTCAATGTGACTTTTTTTAGTATTGATACTTGCTCAAATGATCCTAGATTTAGTATTGATAAGTATTTGATTTTCCAGACTTTTGATGACTGTTTGTGTATATATATATATATATATATATATATATATATATATATATAATATACTAGTACAGGCCTGATGCCCTGATGAGCTTTACCAAATAAACTCCAGTCCAGCAGTGAAATGTCATGTCGTTTAAACCCTCAATAAGTCAAATATTAGTTATCCTGTGACCTTTGAGAAAACATGTTTCACATGTATGTTTTAGAGTTTTATTTATAGCTCGGAGTGGAGAATGTGGCGTCTGTACATGTTATGTGTCAGTATGAGAACATGAGGAGCACAGACAGCAGCTCTCATCAGTCCAGAGGAAGTTTGTGAAGAAAGGTGAAGAATAAGTGGGTGGAAAAAATACACTTGGATCTGATTGGGCTAAATCAGACATGTCAAACTCAGGCCTGGGGGCCAAATTTGGCCCGTGATATAATTACATTTTACCCACGAGATCATATCAGATCTGTATTAGAGTTGCCCGCCGGCTACAGATAGACGATAGAGACATTATTTATTTAAAATTCAGTTATTATTATATATTATGTTTGTTCTGGATTCAATGTTTAAGCAAGACTATTATTAAATATTTATTTTAATAAGAAAAGGTTTAACATTTTATATCTCAAAAGGAGAGAAAACATGCAGATGTTGTCGAAATTGTTCAATAAGTAGTTTGTTTGGCCCACGACGTAGTCCCAGTGTTTAATTTTGGCCCTGAATTGAATCTGAGTTCGACACCCCTGGTCTAAAGGTCACATCAGCGAAACAAGACGAGAAGTCAAACTAGAGTAAATCAAGCTGAGAGAAAAGTGTCCACACATGCACAAAACTCTTCTTCCTCTGTATTGTTTCGGTGTATATAAATAATTTGACCAAAAATAAATTAAAACCGATATTACTTACATATTATATTTATTATATTATAACAATGTTATATGACTTATTAGGGTTACAGTGTTGATAGTATTCTAAAAACAACATACACCAAACACACAATCACCCTCTGTCAAGGCCCATTTGCACACACACATTCTACATTGTACTGATCATTCAAATCACACTCATCCCTAATGTGCACAAACTTGTTTTAGAGATCAGACACTTCTTTGTCAGACGTGCAAACATTTGAAAACCTGTGCAGGTTAGAGTCTTTGTTGGCAGTTTATTTGAATGACTCACAGCGACAGAGGAAAACAAGGATTTGGTGAGTACGCTCTTACATTTGGGGACAGTGGACTCTTCTTTAGAGGATGAGTGTGTTACTCGAGATGTTTTTCAGAGCTCAATGAGACAAAAGCCTTCAGAGGGGAAACAGCCCCATGAAGAATTTTGAAAAGCAAAAAAATATTTGCAAATTTGCATACATCATTAGATTTTCAAAATGTAATACATTTTTATTACTTTGCAAGGATAGGACAGTGGTGACACTGTTGGGGTTTCTTATCCTGATTTTTAACCGCACATTAATACAATGACTCAACTGGTTTCAGGGCTGTTTTGCGCCTGCGACCAGCTCATCAAACTTGAACCATACACCAGGATTATCTCAAGGATTCTCGTGACAAACTCTGATCTGGTCCTGTTTTCAGTTTTGAGTTTGAGTCGTTCACTTTCTTCTGTCTTTTCACGTGAATCATTTCCTCGTGTTTGTCCATCGGAGTCTGTTCAGCTGTGAGTGAGGCAGAGGTCAAAGGTCACCACACACCAGGGACAATAACATGTGTGAGCTTATCTGTGTGCAAAAACACAACCATCCTCTTCTCTCTTTTCTCCCATGTCTCTCTCTTCTTCCTCTCTCTTTCTGTTTCTTTCTCACACTCCTTCATCACTTCATCACCCATCTCTGCCCTCCTCTCGCTCCCTCTCTCCTCTGTGACTCTACCTGTCTTTTGCTCTCCTTTCACTTCTTTTTTTAATCCCTCTCTCCTATTTTCCATCTCTCTTCCCTGCATCTCTCTGTCTCCCTCTCCTTTTCCACCCTCTCTCTCTCTGCTTTCATAAATGAAGCATGTTAAAGTGGCGGCGGGGCAGTCAGTGGATTTGTAGAGACTCTCTCTCTCTCTCTCTCTGTGTCCTGAGAGACTTCTCTCTCTCTCTGTGTCCTGTAGAGACTCTCTCTCTCTCTGTGTCCTGTTAGAGACTCTCTCTCTCTCTCTCTCTGTGTCTGTAGAGACTCTCTCTCTCTCTCTGTGTCCTGTAGAGACTCTCTCTCTCTCTCTCTCTCTGTGTCCTGTAGAGACTCTCTCTCTCTCTCTGTGTCCTGTAAGACTCTCTCTCTCTCTCTGTGTCCTGTAGAGACTCTCTCTCTCTCTCTGTGTCCTGTAGAGACTCTCTCTCTCTCTCTCTGTGTCCTGTTCAGACTCTCTCTCTCTCTCTGTGTCCTGTAGAGACTCTCTCTCTCTCTCTCTGTGTCCTGTAGAGACTCTCTCTCTCTCTCTCTGTGTCCTGTAGAGACTCTCTCTCTCTCTCTGTGTCCTAGAGACTCTCTCTCTCTCTCTCTCTGTCCTGTAGAGACTCTCTCTCTCTCTCTCTGTGTCCTGTTCAGACTCTCTCTCTCTCTCTCTGTGTCCTGTAGAGACTCTCTCTCTCTCTCTCTCTGTGTCCTGTAGAGACTCTCTCTCTCTCTCTCTGTGTCCTGTAGATACTCTCTGTTCTGTACTGACTCTCTCTCTCTTTCTTGTAGAACCCGGACTCTCTGGACTCGTCTATCCAGTCTCTGCTCTCATCTCTGTTCCCTCCGTTCGACCTCACCGCTCCGGTCGTGCTCAGTCAGCTCTTCAGGACCATTGAGGAGCGTTACCATGGAGACGCACTACAATGTCTGATCGACTTCCTCATCCCGGCCAAACATGTGCTGGAGAGTGTACAGCAAGCCGCCTGTGTAAGTACTACAATTACTAATACTACTACTTTTATTACTACTACTACTATTTTACATCAAAGTCAACTCACATTGGTCCTTGCAGTTTTCTAATGTGGAATTCAGTGGACTTGTTTCTTTTATTATAATTTTAAATCAATATTACAATGTAAATGTCTAAATTATAACATAATGGTCCACACAAGGTCTTAGTAGGTCTTGTTTAAGCCACACGTCTGCTCCTGTGTGCTCCAGGCGGGCTTCTGTGACGTGGTGTTCCGCTGTGAGGGCTGGCCTCTCTGTCTCCATGATCAGACTGTGGTCCAGCTCGCTCCAGTCAACCCTCTGCTGCTGCGCCCGGGGGACTTCTACCTGCAGGTGGGTGCACACTCCCATTCCCCCCATCAACACATGCATCAGAGGTCAGAGCCTCCAGCTAAGGGAGTCCTGACCAAAACTAGCCCAAGATCTGGAGATGAGTCCCTGAAAATGAACACTGCTCACCATCACCAAAGTGTGACTAATAATGCAACAATTAAAGTCTCTGTACCTGATTTTTACTGTTTTAAAACATGAAAAACAGAACTACATTTGTAACAGTTCGCAGTGGTCCAAAGTTATTCCTCACACTGTAAAATCTAACACTAGACTTCACATTCAGCTCATTTATTTTATTTACAGCTTTGAATTTGTGGATCTTAATGATTGTGCTGGATTTCACCTGTTTTGTTTTTTCCTAAGGTCAGGGACCTTGGTTGAGTTGACATGGAACGGCCAATGTGTTATTTTATTGTTACACATGTTACAATGTGTTCGAACTAAAGTTGAACAAAAGTTTTTGCTTGTTTTTTTTTCCCCACAAAGAATAAATATTCAAATCCTTGTGTACCTGCATTATTGTAGAAGAGAACCTGTTTTTACTCTAACTTGTGTACAGAAGTAACATTTGCTCATTTCAAGGCAATCGGCCTCGAATGTTTTACCAAGTAAGATGAAATCACTCTTAAAGTAAAGGTTACTTTCTCAATTCAAGGCAATTGGTTCAAGACAAAGTAAAGGTTACTACATATTTCAGATTTAAGGAACTGACTGAGTTAGCACAACTTCACAACCTGAGTTCTGTGAATGAAAACTAAAGATCACTTACTAGATTTTTTGGACTATGAGGCGCACTTGAAATCCTTTAATTTCCTCAACTGATTTTATGTGGTACACGGTGCTCAAAAGTTGGTCAAAATGTTTCAGTACGGCTTTGATAAGCTAGGAAGCCACACCACTTGATGGACTGCCAAGAGCCTCGCAGAGTAAAGCCCAAATTACGGTCCTTAGTCCAACAGAAGCCGACTGCATCAACGCACAAGGAACAAGCTGTTTTTCAGCGCTTATAGTTTATGCAAATGAGCCACGTAGTTTTAAGTGTTGTTTCTATAAAACGAAAACAAATGTGTGCAAAGCTGCATTAAACACATTATTAATCATTGTATATTTTAGTTTTCTCTTAGGAAATAAAAAACAAATTAAATGATCCACCCATATTCACATTCATAATCCACATTCAACAAGACAGGGAGGCAACGCCAGGCGAGTTACACCACGATCTGCCGATGGATCATGGATGTCTGGGTTAAGGATCAGTCTCAAGTGTCATCCCGTTGTTTCGCTTAATGGGCCTTATAATCTGGTGCACTTTATGTATGAAAATAGACGAGAGAATTCAACTTTATTGATATTGCGCCTTATAATATATATATATAGTCTGAAAAATACGGTAACTTGCTGTGCCTAGTTAGATGAAAGAGGAATTTACCGTACACCACACTGAGGAATTAGTTGTGAGCTCAGCTTTAGATTCACAGTCCACTTTAGTCAGATTTTTCAAGGCAATCGGTTTCCTTGATTTTTTCAAGTAAGGTTTACTTATTAGATATTACAGTGCACTTACCTTATGCATTCTGAGCATCCTAATTATTCACCACGATGAGTTTATGAGCACTTTGTACAACTTTCAGAGACTAGCACAGAGTTTTGCCATGATGCCATATCTAAAAACAACTAGCATGCTAACACACACATTGTTAATAATAAGAAGACAAAATGCTTTCTAATGCAGATGACACCACATAGTAGACTTATTTTGGTTTCGAGCTGCTTCGAGCTGCTTATACAGTGTGTCTGTAATGGGGCAAGACACATTTTTTTTCAAATACACAGGAACAAATCAGGTACAGAGGCTTTAAAGCACATTTTTGACATGTAGAAAATCTCATAGCTTATTTATTTCTTTGTGTCTGGAGGTGGCGCCATTTGGAGAACAGGCCGCTCGCATTGTCCTTAAGAGCCTTCTGGAGGAGGGCTGCAGGGAGGTGGAAGAGATCCCGATCCCTGAGACGTCTTACCCCATCATCTTCACCCTCGAGTGGCTTCAAGAACTCAACCAGGACCGCCATGGAGCTCCACTGTCCCGCTGTCTCCTGTGCACCGACCAGGGCATCGTCAAACTGCCCTGGGACAAGATCGCTGTCCCCGAGTTCATCGATAAACCAAAAACAGTCCCCATAATGCCGCCTATTTGCCCAGAACCTGAACCCAAACATCTCACACAACATTTGAAATATAGCTCTTCAACTTTACCTCTCGAAATGCACCATCCCGCCAAATACAAAATGTCCGCTTCTTTGCGACACCCACACTATTCGTCGCGCGTGATCAAGCCAGATAAGAAATCAAAAGCACAAGTGAAGCCGGTTGGATGGGTCTCTCCGAACACCTGGGACAGACCTATGGAAAAAGGAATAGAAGGGGACTACGTGGACTTGGTGGAAATCGCCAAAGAGAGAGAACGCCTGGATAAGACTGACAGAAAAGTGCATCCAGGATTAATAAAAGCATTCCGACCTCCGCAGCCTAAACTGGGAACGCAATGTCTCACGGCAACCCTGCAATATTCTGAAAATCCTTTTGTTCCATGTGGCGATTTTGGAATTTCCGATGAAGAACTGAAGAGTAGGTACAGGGAGTCTTACATGGCGGCGCTGAAAAACCCAGTCGCGTTAGAAAAAGGGAACGCTGACTTCCTGACTTCTCTCGATGAACTTCGATATTTGGAAGAAATTCAAAACATGTCCATTGGCGCATCAGATTTCCATAAAGAAGGTCTTGGAACGTCTTTAGATCATGGTAAAGCAGACATTTCCAATCAAGAACTTTGCCAGTTTAAGGAATTCTGCGAACCTGCTACTGTACGATACGCAAGCCACGTGAAAGACCTCAAGAAAGCATCGGAAACGTCAATCTCCGCAAACGATATCGCCAAAAAGGATAATCTGGAGTCGGAATGTGGCGCGGTGGGGTTTACAGATGTTGTTTCGGAAGGTTTTGAGAAGAAATCTGAAGAGGTGAAGGGATCAGGAAAGCATAAATTCAAAATAAGATCTTTGTCCGCCGTGTCAGAGGGGCCTAAAGGAACGCCGCTCCTCCACAGCAGAAGTCGCAGTGATGTTGGCCCTGAAATGATGAATGATTTGGGGCCGAGGCACAGAGAGACGAGGGGGGACGTGGAGCCTGGAGCAGGGACAGAGGAGCACAGGAAATCCCCCCACACTGGTGAGTTCAAGGACATTCACTCGTCAGATAAAAGTACACACATGCAAACATCCAACTGCACTCTCTTATTATCTGCTACTACAAGACTACTACAACTACTGCACGGGCTGATACTAATACTACTGACAACTACTACAACTTGTACAACTACGAACTATCATATCACTGCTATTACTACTACACTTACTACCACTATGACCACTATTGCTGTAGGGCTTCTACTACTACTACTGCTACTACTACTACTACTACTACTACTACTACTACTACTACTACTACTACTACTACATCTACTACTTCTACTACTACAGATACTATTATTTACATCTACTGCTTTAGTTTACAACGCTGTATTCCCTGCACTCACTCCCTTAAATACATGAAGTTTAAATAGTACTTTGAACCTACTAATACTTCTACTAATACTTTACTTCCTTTAAATCCTAAATCCCATCTCTCAGCATCTCTCCGATAACTGTGGTGTAATGCTTGTCTTTGAACTACTACTACTATTACTACTGCTACTACTACTACCACTAGTACTAATATTACTACTACTACTACCACTGCTTCTGCTACTGCTACTGCTACTACTACTGCTACTGCTGCCACTACTACTGCTACTGCTTCTGCTACTGCTACTGCTACTACTACTACTGCTGCTACTGCTACTGCTATTAGTTTTAATAGTACTATAAATCCATCTACAAGTACTACCACTTCCTTTAAATCCTGAATCCTGTGTGTCAGAGTGTGTGATGTGTGTGATGTGTGTGATGTGTGTGATGAGTGTGATGAGTGTGATGTGTGTGATGTGTGTGATGTGTGTGATGTGTGTGATGAGTGTGATGTGTGTGATGTGTGTGATGTGTGTGATGTGTGTGGCACACACACTGGTCCTTCTGTGATACTTTGCTTTTGAAAATGACCTTTGTCTCTGAACGGCTTTAACCCTTCGTCTTCTGTCTGTGCCCCCCCCATGCATGATCCTGGGGTCAAGCCCACAGCTCCACCCCCCTCTTCTCCAAGCACACCTATTTAAAATCCATACGTTTACTCAGGCTTTTTAGTACATGGTTCATTATATAGCACAGTAGGTTGTGTTTACATGATGACAACATCCAAATAGCGTGAACTTGTGAGTCGAATCATAATCGGATGTACATTTCAGTTTGAATGGGTATAATTTGCAAATGGCAAAGGCTGTTTGAAGTGTTATCATTTGCTCCACAAACTCTGTAGATTAGATCAGATCAAAAATGAAATGGGATTCTTGTATTAGTTTGTCAGTTCAGATTTCAGTCTTTTTGTCAATGTTTAAAATGTGAACTGTGAACAGAATCATGCCATTAAAACATTAATCGCAAATTTAATCTCACATTTACATTTGCACAGGTCACAATCCTCAGGTGGAGTTTGCTGTAAGTGTCAGATGCAGATTTGTTAACTTGGTTTATGGTTCATTTCTCTTCTCTGTAATTATTGAACATAGCCAAATGAAACAAAAACCAACACAAAGTTTAAGCTCAGCTCTGTCCTGTCAAAATAATAAATAAGTATATAACATAGTGTAGAGAAAGCCAAAAGTACTTTAAAAGCCTGAATAAAACATAATGGGACATTTGAGCACCATTTGAAGTTTATCTATAGATCTTTTCCATATCGCCCGACAGCTGTGGGGTCTCATATGCACAGAAACCCCCTCTCTCTCTCCCTCATCTCACTCTCACTCTTTCTCACCCCCCTCTCTCTCCCTCCTCCCCTCTCTCCCTCTCCTCTTTCTCCTTCTCTACATAAAGCACTTCTCTGTGAATACCATTTCCTGTCCCTCCTCCGTCCCTGTTGGAGATGGAAAGATGGGGCCGCAGTCGCAGACAGCTCGGGACAGTCCCCAGAGGAGCACCATACTTGACCTCTGACCCCTGAACTGTACTAGAGAGAGCCCCATTGACCTTTGAACTTGGGGGAGTTAGCATTCGCCGCGGCACGAGAGGAGACGCTCAAATTTCAGACCGTAGATCAGAGCGAGACGGAGGGAACTTTTTAATAGAGTAATAAAAACTCCTATCAGCACACAGCACATAAATACACTGATTACACAATACAAGCCGTTCTATTTCTGCCAATGAATGCACAATTTAAGGTCAAGAGGAGGTATTACACCAAAGTGACTTGTTTGGGGCTTTCTATCATTTGTTCTCTCATGAAAAACAACATGCCGGAAGAGATTTTAAGTTTCATCCATCCAGTATTTTAATGATCTTTATTTGTTTACTTATTTATTTATTTATTTGATTGGGACAGAGCATGTTAATGGACAAACGTGACACAACATGAATGTAAACACACTGGATTGTCACCTAAGGCTCATTTCCCTCCATTGTCCCAAAGGACTGGGATCACAGAGGGTCAAACAATAAAATATTGCACACTCCATTCATTGTACAGTTCTCAGTATCGCACAGTCCAAAATATTGCACAGTCCCGTCATTGCACAATTCCCATTATTTTGCTGTCAGCTTGGCCACACATTCAATACCTGCAAACATGTGTCCATAGAAGATCTTTCTGTGGTCCTGTTCAAACCCTCCTCCTCAATAAACATCAGACGTCTTATGGACGTGCAGATCATGTGTGTATCATGTCCGTCGGTCCAAGACCAGTTCTGGACTCAATGATGTGTAAATGACATTCACACATGAAAAATCACACATGGACATTCACATACATGGATGTTCACACAGACATGAACATTCACACATGAACAATTACATACACATGAACATTCACACACACATGAACGTTCACACATGAACATTTACACACACATGAACGTTCACACATGAACATTTACACATACATGAACGTTCTCACATGAACGTTCACACATGAACATTTACACATACATGAACGTTCACACACACACTGGCTCTTCTTTTCTGCATCACTTTAGGAAAAACAAACGTGAATACTGGACGTCCGGAAGATGTTGGAAAAAAGACGTCATCTGGCGTCACACTCTGCACCTTCAGGGGATCCAGATTGGAAAAAAAATCTGCCTAAAAAGATGTTTAAACGTTTCTTTGCACAGTGGGTTACGGTTAGCAGAAAATTGTGTGGAAGGCTCCACCCACAAGCCTACGTCACCCATGCACCCACACCACTATTCTCCATAAATACACAAAAACATGACACAAAACAAAACAAAACATGACAACTTGACAAACGTGATATGATGTGTAGTAGTTTTATTATTGGTATGTATGTCGTGATAGCGCTCTGAAGGGGGAGTGACTTAGCGTGAAGAGCAATGTCGCCTCTCCACAGATCTGTGTAATGCTACACTGTGGGACACAGTCCAGATAAAGCAATAACATCTCCATGGAAACAATCATTGACGACGAAACCTTGAAAAAAAAATCTTTGTTCATCTTTAAACTGTCTTCATTATGTAAATGCAGCTAAGTGTTTTCAGTGAACAAACAGCCAGAGCTCTTGCGCCCTCTGTTGGCATCTTACCCAAAATAGGTGCTACCTGAGTTCTTTCTGTAGTTTTATATTTATTCTTTTGACTTCCTTGTCTTTCAGAGTCGCAGTCCAGTCCCAGTGCCCCTGAGCCTGAAGCCCCGCCCCTGCAGATCCCTCCTCCTCCTGAACCCTCTGCTCCACCTGAAGAGGGCGCTCTCACATGTGTCACTCCACTGCTCCAGCTGGGCATCATTTGTCTGCCAGGTAACACATCCACATTCTGAAAAGTATTAGGACGGTTTAGCACAACACTGGACAGATCCTATTTTCATGTCCACATTTTTTAAAACCATTTCACCACAGCCAAAAAAAAAAAAAGAAAAAGAAAACTTACTCACAGTATACCACTTTTTAGTTCAAAATGGAGTCACATAAAAGCATGTGTTTTGTATTTTCATTTTGGTTGTGTTTATAGCACTGAAAAACTTGGAAAAACATGGGTCTTGTGAGCAGGTTCGCATCCCCACAGACATGAATCATCACTTGTGTGTGACTTGCCACCTCTAGAAAGTTACTTACTGTCACTTTAAGAAAAGTTTTAAAAGTGCCCTATTTATTAGCTCAAAATATTGAATCAAATTTTGTCAAATTTGAGCTAAGTGTACCACAACAGATATAAAAGTAAAATATATAAACGAAATATAAAAGTGTCCTGGCTTTGAGATGTCCTCCTGTCTCACTCCTCACCTGCACAGACAGTACAGTGTAATGACTGTGTGTGTGTCGCCCCCTACAGGCAGCAGGGACAGAGCGGGCCGAGCTGTGGTGGAGGTTTATGGAGACAGAGAAGAGTGGCTCCACCCTCTGGTCACTGCTCAGAACATCTGCAAACTCCTGCTCTACCTGCACTCCCTGCCCAGGTAATCAGGCCTAGACTAGAGCAGCAGCACTCCCTCCACACGAGTGCTCAGTCTGACATTTGAACTGAATTTTAGTCCAAACACCTCCAGTCACTCACATTCACACTTTTCAACAAACTGTCCTCTAGAAACTGTCCCTGCAGGGCTGTCCTCTAACGTCTCTACACGGCTCTTAAAGCACAATGGACTTTTAGAGCTTTTAACCATGATATAGTTGTTTTCATCTCGGGCAATGTCACGTCGTCATTTTGGTCCAAATGTAAAAAAAAATGTTCTGCTCTAGTGTGATGTGCAGCTCTCCACAGGAAGGGCCCACAGCCTGTTTAGTCCTGTTTAGTCCTGGTTTAGTCCTGGTTTGGTTCTATCCATAGGAGAGGCCCATGTGGCACTTTGTTTTCATGACATTTACAGCCATGTCGACTCCCATTGGACACCACCGTTTTCTAACTTTTATTAAATCATTTTCAGTCAATATTATAATTTAAAATGTGTAGCTACTATAGCTCAGACACAAGCACAATAGGTCTTCTTTAAAGAGCTTTTTTGTATTCCTCCAAAAAAAAAAACAAATTAAAGTGCATGATATAACTTTTGTGGTGGAGAAAAGACTTTAACAAACTTTAACAAACAAAGTTGGTCTAATCTCACAAGTTTTGATATTAACATAAAACAGTGGCGGAGCGTGCATTTCACATCTAGGCCTTCAGTAGTGCTCCGTCTGAAACAATCCTCAACTCTCCTCCTCATTAACTATTTTATAGTTACATTATACACAGTATAAAGAACTGTGGAGATTCCGTGCACAGAGAAGTGAGGAGCGCTGGGGGGCTAAACCAGGACTAAACCAGGACTGGCCCGAAGGTGCGCCTGCGTAGACTGTCGGGTGACCACAGACGGCTGCTAGAAGGCCCTGATTGATGTGATTGGTCAAATGTTTAATAGGAAAATGCATGTGTGGAAGTAGCACAACCATCGAAAAAGCTCTGAAAGGAAGTGGATAGAACATGGAATTATTTAATAATAATATAATTAACATCAGTCTGTGATTCAGATATTTTTTTAGGCCAGCAGAGAAGGCCTTGCAGGTCCTGATGCCCCGCCACTGACAAAAACACAAAACAGTGAATCTGCCGTAGAGTTCTGCTGGCCCCTCCCTCCTCAAATGACATCATCAAACTGTTGACCATTATAACATGTATTCATCCAAAGATTTAATGCAATTGCACTTTAAAATTCAAGAAAACATTTGCCCTTTTTGTGAAAAGGAGATTGAAAGCACTGATCTTCTTTTTTTTTTTTTTTTTTTTCTTTTTGTGCTACAGTCTGAAACGCAACACTGGAAAAAGTCCAGATTTCCTTCCTTACTGGTCCTGTTGAATAGAGATGTTATCATTTTTGGCATACTACTTCAAAATAAAAAAGAAGAACTCTGTAAATTTAATATTATGTCTTGACAAATTTTACATCCACAAATGTAAAACTCAGGAGTGTCCCTGAAAAGACCTAAAGCTCGAAAAGTGAATTCCAGGGTTCCCACTCGTTTCCACTGACAAAATTTCAAAAGTCTTAGAACAGAAAATGACCCTTACAGAAAAATGTAAAAATGGGTAAGGTACAAACCCGAGGCACTCCGACTGAGTATATTAAAAATCCTTTATTACATGGAGGGATGTCAACGTGTTTCGACCAACAAGATGGTCTTCGTCAGGGCAAAGTAGTAAAAACAAGACACACCGGGTGTCAATAAATATAATCAATTAATCACATGACAACATCACATGACAGCAGCAAAAAGACAGCGAGCAAACCCCAAAACAAAAAAAAGGTTGGCCAACCATGAAGAATGTATAAGTGATGAGCAGCCCCACCAAACAACAACAAGAATAACAAGACATGTTGGAGGAAAGTAGGCGTGTCCATCACATATGAAATACATAGACAATTGACTATCACAAGTACAAAAAAATGTCATTTACAATAAAGAATCACCCAAAAAGTAAAATTTCAGAGAAACGTGGAATAATCCAAATCATCGTTGATGTTGTGTGACCTTTAAGGTTACAATCCAGAAAGTGTCTTTTTTTGACAGTTGACGGAGTCTGTTGCCCCCTCTGATATTTGGAGGGACGACCTGAATTACTCTGACTTTTAAGAGACTGACTTGTTGAAGATTGAAAGTGTAGGGCCATTGGGTAATTAGTTTTTTTTTTTGTTTTAATAGTGTTTTTATGTTCACAAAAGCAATCCTTGAGTCTCCTTTTAGTCCGCCCTACATAGAAGCACCCACAGTTGCAGTCCAAACGATAGACCACATATGTAGTGTTAAAGTTTGCTAAGTGGCGGTATGTAAAAGTTTTTTGGCCTGAGGAGTCTTTAAAAAGTACATTTATTAATATGGGCACAGTGATCGCAGGCATCGCATTAAAACTGGTTTAGGGAAGAATGTCTTTTTTTCTGCTGGGAGATAGTTTTTCACAAGTTGATCTTTTAAAGTTGGTGCTCTTTGCACAGCAAATGATGGAGGGTCAGAGAAAATAGATGCCAATGACTCTGCCAGTGCACTTTTACACACCCAGTGGTGTGTAATTAATTTAAAAAAACAAAAAAACTGCACTGCCTTTAGCTCCAGACGTGGAGGTTGTTTTAGTCGCTCTAAGTGTTCTAGCACAAACACTTGAGCTCACTTTGTTGACTCTGTTTTGAATGGAAGCTTTAAAGCAGCAGCAGGAGCCCATGGCCCCTCACCGTGTCCCCAGGGAGCAGCGCTCTGAGGGGCCAACTCCACACCAGCTGCCCCCGTCTGGAATGTAGCCAGCAGGAGCGAAGGAACAACATGTGAGGGAGGGAGAGGAAGGAGGAAAGATGGAGGGGGGAGAGGGAGAGAGAGGGAGTGAAGAGGGGAGGAAAAATGAAAAGGGAACAAGAGAGCGAGGGAGAGAGAGAGAGAGGGAGAGAGAGAGAGAGAGAGGGATAGAGAGAGGTGTAAATAACACTGACAGCTCTGGTGAAAACAGATATTTGGGGCCTGAATATTTTAGGAGTTAATAAAACACAAACCTTTCAGCACTGCCCAAAGTGAGGACAGGGGCGATTCCCAACAAATGCATACTACTGTTGTGTCCTATGGCAAGACTTCACCCACCATGCTTATGTGAGAGTGTTCTGTCAGCCTGATAGTAAATGGAGAGGCATAAGCTTTATTTAAATCATTTTGCACAACTGCTTTGTAGGATTGTCAAAACTATTGAAAATCACATAGTAAATAAATAGCAGAGATGCAGAGATATGGTTTTCCCACAATTCAATACGGATCCCAATACACGGCTCATGGTATAGATTCAATTTCGATACGTTTTAAGACACACACAAAATCTGTCATTGTAACATTTTTAAAAGTAAATTTTTTAAAAGTAAGAGTGAAATATTATAACACCATGATGTTAATGAAACATTCCACTACAGACTCAAACTCTGTTCTGTTGCATAAAAATGTCTCACAGACGTTTTCTGAGTAAAACAGATGAGTCAGTGTGAGAAAAAGATCGTGTTTATCATGAGCGGCGTCGCGGGGCTGAATACGAGCGCATTTGATTAAAGCCGATGTGAAGCCAAAAGTGATTCTAAAGTAATTAAAAGTGAATCTCTTTGTCGTCCTGGGTCTAAAATCAAAAAGATCAAACCCTCGTCTGTTAGAATATTTCAGCTGTAAGTCTCTATGGAGCAGTTTTCTGCTGCTTCTGAGGAGGACGCTGTGATACATGACAACACAGAGGCATGGAGGGACACGTGCATATCGACACATGTATCAAACACGAAAGATTCAATATATCGAATACGGTTGCCTCCGTAAACATTAATAAAACTGGTATCTAAACTAGATAGTCATTTGAGGTATCAATACTAAAAAAGTCACATTCACATGGTGACATAAAAGAAAATATTGCCATATAATGTTGAAAATCAAATCTTATTGTTGAAAGAAAGAAAGAAAGAAAGAAAGAGTGTTTTGAATGATGTCTATTGTTTTCTTTCTTTTATTTTGTATATGTCTGTTTTTTTGCAGGAGGGAAGTGTCAGACTTGGGTTTGACTCTGATCATAAACTCCAAGAAGAAGCCTCCTCCTCCACCATTCTACCAGGCTCTGCTCATGGCACAGGTACCACACGTGCACATACTCACACACATGCACACCTGACTCACGTGCACACTCACACACATACACACCTGACTCACGTGCACACTCCTCATTCACATGCACCATGCCAGCAAAGCAAGTTTCAAATCTTGGCTAAAAAGTGGCCCAAAAATATTGTGATTCAGGATTAGTGGCAGATGGGACCACAGGCTGTAAATATGAATGCAGAACAGGAAGTGAGTAGGGAAAGGTCTTCAAGCTCTGGGTGCAACTGAAAAATCTTCACTCCTCTGTCTGTAGCTGCTGCTGTGAGCCACATCATTTTAGTCTTAAAATGTTCACTTTACATGCTCCTGGTGTTTTTATTTCACTGTTTAGTCCCTAAATGAAGATATGAACATTAATTTCAGACCTGTGAGGCACCTTCCTGGGACATGTACCCTCAACATCCTGACTTTTGCTCTTTGGTTTTAATAATTTGGTTATAATTTTATTTAAAATCTGTTTCTGAAACTTTAGAAACTGCCAAGCTATTAAAATATTTAGCAGAATCTTTCATTTTAAATGAGCTGTTTGGACTTAAAACAGCTGTGTTATACACATTAGTCAGCATGTAGATGGTTAGCCGGCACAATGCCTTCAAACAATTTGTTTAAGATGAGATGAGGTGAGTAGATGAGAACTTGTTTTCGTAGTCTGCTGTCTAAACCTGAATTATAACCCTGTTCCACCCTGTACCAGACCCTAATCTCAGCCCTTTCCAAACTCAAGACTATCAGGCCTACAAAAGACACTGTCTTTTCTCTATAAATGTTTTGAATACATTTCCAAAATTAATCAAGTTAAAGAACATTTGTGGCCTAATGTAAAATATTTAAATAAACAAAATGTGTCAAATTCACTGAAAGCAGATTCAGTACTGCGAATGTCCACAAGAGGGAGACATGCCTGCAGTTTTCTGACTCTTCTGAGTTCTGTGCAAAAGAAGAGAAGAAGAGATAGAATTGTCATGAAACATGTTAAGAGGCTGAATAAAGGGATGGAAAGAACAGAGGGACAGTGTCTACAGTACTGTTGTCTAATGTGCAAATAATGATTCATAACTCACTGGTTCTGTTTTTGTAGGTTTCTAATGCCTACCTATATATATTTAAAACATAATGGTCACATGTAAGGATGTGTTCGTGTCCCTGTGTGTGTGTCAGGAGCAGGCTCTGCACACTGTCCACTGCATCGTCCTGTTTGTGGACAAAGACTCAAGTCCACGACCTGAAAAACTCAGCGGTCTACAGGTATCACATTTATATAAAAGTCTCACATTTATATAAAAGTCTCACATTTATATACAAGTATCACATTTATATACAAGTCTCACGTTTATATAATCATATTTGTATAATCACATATACATAGAAGTGTCACATTTATATAATCACATTTATATCAAAGTATCACATTTATATAGTTGCATTTATATGCTAGTAATCACATTTATGAAGAAATATTCAGATTATTTAATCATTTGTACGATCACATGTAAATTGACGTCTGCAGGAATCACTTTTATTTTGGACAGATTTAAAGTTTTAACTATAGATGTCCTTCTGGTTTCCATGGTAACGTGTAAGCTGCTTTTATTTGTAATAGTTTTATGTTTTATTTTATGGTGTAAGATGATATTAGTCTAGTAGATGAGACACCTTTGACCTCTGAGCCCTGACCTCCTCCTCTGTGCTTCAGATGGACGTGGTGTCGTCTCTAAAGTCTCTGAATAAAACAGTGGAGAGCTGTGAGCTGAGTGCGGCGCTCGGAGGGACATTTGTATTCTGCCTCCAGGACTGGCTCCAGCTGCACCAGGTAAACACATGCCACAAGCAAAATATAACCCAGGCAAAAGTATTTGTTTTTTCCACATTTTGAAAGGCTGTGGAATAAAACATATGAAAAATAAATGGCATTATGTAGCAAAGACAAAAAGGTAAATAACTTTATATTCAAATCCTCAAAGTAGTCACCCTTTACTTACTAAAATATTTAATGTCACTTTTTTTAGCTACATAATTCCATATATCTTGCTTCATCCATTTGTTGTGTTCTGTACAGATCTAAAATGTGGAACAAGTAAAAATAAAGAAAAGGAGGTTTCCAAACTCTGCTCCAGATATCTGAATACATAGTATAAATATGTATCAGGGATCTGCCAATGTAACACAAACATAAATATCCCAGGTATCAGGGTATATGTCAAAATACATTATACCAGGTTTCTGTAAAATATAACATAGTACAAGCGTGCGCCAAGGGTCTGGCTCCTGACTGTAATGTTATTTCAGACGGTCTTGTTTAACAGCACATATCAGCTCTCCTGTTGTACTTTCAGCTAAGTTAGTTCTAAGATCATATTGTGTTAAAACCATTCACTGTATATATAATAATATATAATAGCTAGCACATTAGTCTCTGTGTCCCAAATAGGAAGTTCATATGTGGCTCTTCTGGCTCCTTCTCACTCTGGCTCCCATTGACTTATACTGGAATATTAGCATCTGTCTGTCTGTGACTGCTGCTGTGAGCCTCGTCATTTTGGTCTGAAAATGTTAATATTAACCCGCTCCATATGATCCTGGTATTTTTTCCCTTATTTTGTCTGTCAATGAAATCCTTTTCGTAACATAGAACTTGGCTCCACATTTGCTCCTGTGACCTTCAGCATCACGAGTCTACGCTGTAGACACATTACACTCGATTAGTCCCCTTTTTGTATACAGTCTATGGTTAAAACACAACACACACTCAGATTAAAGTGTCACTTTAGTAACAGAGCTTCAGACAGAGCAGGGTCTACTGTTAGCATCTCGCCCCCAGGGAATGTTGATAACACCAGCTACAAAGAGTTATACTGAAAATATGTCAAAATACTTAACAGAAATATGCACCAGTGTCCTAATACAAACAACACAATACATGAATTACACATGAACACAGTTTGAACTTGTGCATGTTCATATATATATATATATATATATATATATAATCGAAATTGTGTTTAAATGGAAAAGTCCAAGTGTTCTTTGGGGAGATTCCTGCGTCCTGTCCGCCTGATAGTTAGAGAGGGGAGAGAGTTCAGCTCCTAACAGCCTGGAGGATGAAGGTGTTAGTGATGTATTTGCAATAGTAAATCATGGATGTTTAGAGAATAGAATAGAGGTCGAGCGCCTCGCTGGCTCATAAAATGTAAATATCACCACAGTAGAGAAGCTCAGAAGCAGAAGCTCTCAGTGGTGCCTCAGGACTGGACCACTCTGCCTGGCTCACTGTAGGGCCACATTTTTCGATGCATGTTTATGTGAGATTTTATTTGATCTCTTTTATGCATCTCTCCGTCTTAATTATCACTATATTATGTGGAGAAATAGAACATGAATCATTGTTACTTTGTTTTATTTTTTCCCAGAGAATCGTTCCATTCATGTCAGATCTACAGGCAGCAGACAGTTTGTTGCAGAAAGCCATCCAAAAGGTAGAGGGAGCTAGAAAGCTGGACTCTGCTCAGGTAAGTCCATACACCATCCCTATGTGTCAGATGCCCTCCCATCCCAGTGGGGTCTGGTGAAATCAGATCAGGGGGAAAAAAAAAAAAGAGAAAAGATGATTCCCACAAAAATACCAAAGATACAGAATACTGGCTCCTACTCCATTTTACAGCTACCATTAAAAGTCAAGCCATGTTAGAATGTTGTTACTTCCTCAAAAACCTGAAGTTGTGTCATTCACACATGTTTTGAATAACTATTATTAGCTTGTCTCCGTCTTCTAATTTCAAAATGTTCATTTCCACCTTGCAATGTCGACTTAAACAGCTCCTTTTACCTTTAGTTCAATAATGACTGGCAATTCCAAAGCTAAAATTATCCAAATGATTCTCGTGAAGGTGTATGGAATTTAAAAACACAGAGGAGCACTTCATGTGTTACCACATGACATTATAAGGTGGATTCCTGTTTACAACTCCAGGTCTGTTTGTGATGAGGAAACAACATTATAGCAAAGATCAGAACATAGACTAATATGGGCCTTTTAATAGCTGAATTTAGAGTAAAAACCTGATATTGTTGTGTTTTGTTTCCAGGAGGTGGCACTGGTGTGTGGAGGAGCAGAGGGCTCTGATGCTGGAGGTTCTGAAGGACCCTAGGCTCTTGTCCCTGCAGAGAGAAGGAGGCTCAGTCTTGGCTCGAGTCCGCAAAGATCAGCCCCGCTTTGCCCACTCGCATGATTACAGGTAAAAAGTGTCCCTTTGCTCTTGTTTAAAGTGTCCCTTTGGTCTTGTATAAAGTGTCCCTTTGGTCTTGTATAAGTCTCCCTTTAGTCTTGTTTAAAGTGTCTCTTTAGTCTTGTTTAAAGTGTCCCTTTAGTCCTGTTTAAAGCATCTCTTTAGTCTTGTTTAAAGCGTCCCTTTAGTCGTGTTTAAAGCGTTTTTTTAGTCGTGTTTAAAGTGTCCCTTTAGTTGTGTTTAAAGCGTCCCTTTAGTTGTGTTTAAAGCATCTCTTTAGTCTTGTTTAAAGCGTCCCTTTAGTCGTGTTTAAAGCGTCCCTTTAGTCGTGTTCAAAGCGTCCCTTTAATCTTGTTTAAAGTGTCCCTTTAGTCCTGTTTAAAGCGTCCCTTTAGTCGTGTTTAAAGTGTCCCTTTAATCTTGTTTAAAGCGTCTTTTTAGTCCTGTTTAAAGTGTCCCTTTAGTCCTGTTTAAAGCATCCCTTTAGTCGTGTTTAAAGCGTCCCTTTAGTCCTGTTTAAAGTGTCCCTTTACTCTTGTTTAAAGTGTCCCTTTAGTCGTGTTTAAAGTGTCCCTTTAGTCGTGTTTAAAGTGTCTCTTTAATCTTGTTTAAAGTGTCCCTTTAGTCCTGTTTAAAGCGTCCCTTTAGTCGTGTTTAAAGTGTCCCTTTAATCTTGTTTAAAGCGTCTTTTTAGTCCTGTTTAAAGTGTCCCTTTAGTCCTGTTTAAAGCATCCCTTTAGTCGTGTTTAAAGCGTCCCTTTAGTCCTGTTTAAAGTGTCCCTTTACTCTTGTTTAAAGTGTCCCTTTAGTTGTGTTTAAAGTGTCTCTTTAATCTTGTTTAAAGTGTCCCTTTAGTCCTGTTTAAAGTGTCCCTTTAGTCGTGTTTAAAGTGTCCCTTTAATCTTGTTTAAAGCGTCTTTTTAGTCCTGTTTAAAGTGTCCCTTTAGTCCTGTTTAAAGCATCCCTTTAGTCGTGTTTAAAGCATCCCTTTAGTCGTGTTTAAAGAGTCCCTTTAGTCCTGTTTAAAGCGCCCCTTTAGTCGTGTTTAAAGCGTTCCTTTAGTCGTGTTTAAAGCGTCCCTTTAGTCATGTTTAAAGCGTCCCTTAAGTTGTGTTTAAAGCGTCACTTAAGTTGTGTTTAAAGTGTCCCTTTAGTCCTGTTTAAAGTGTCCCTTTAGTCGTGTTTAAAGCGTCCCTTTAGTCATGTTTAAAGCGTCCCTTAAGTTGTGTTTAAAGCGTCACTTAAGTTGTGTTTAAAGCGTCCCTTAAGTTGTGTTTAAAGTGTCATTTAGGCGTGTTTAAAGTGTCCCTTTAGTCGTGTTTAAAGTGTCACTTAAGTTGTGTTTAAAGTGTCCCTTTAGTCGTGTTTAAAGCGTCCCTTAAGTTGTGTTTAAAGCATCCCTTAAGTTGTGTTTAAAGTGTCCCTTTAGTCCTGTTTAAAGTGTCCCTTTAGTCGTGTTTAAAGTGTCATTTAAGTTGTGTTTAAAGTGTCCCTTAAGTTGTGTTTAAAGTGTCATTTAGGGCGTGTTTAAAGTGTCCCTTTAGTCGTGTTTAAAGTGTCACTTAAGTTGTGTTTAAAGTGTCCCTTTAGTCGTGTTTAAAGCGTCCCTTAAGTTGTGTTTAAAGCATCCCTTAAGTTGTGTTTAAAGTGTCCCTTTAGTCCTGTTTAAAGTGTCCCTTTAGTCATGTTTAAAGTGTCACTTAAGTTGTGTTTAAAGTGTCCCTTTAGTTGTGTTTAAAGCATCCCTTTAGTTGTGTTTAAAGTGTCCCTTGAGTCGTGTTTAAAGTGTCTGGTCTTAGGGACTGGCTGGACTCGGCCTCTCTGTTGTACAACACTGTGGAGGAGAAGCTTCATTCTCTGGTGATAAAGTCCAACCTGAGTCTGCAGCGTCTGGAGTCTCTGCTGTCTCTGCGACAGGCGGAGAACTGTGTGTCTGACGTGAGTCCTGTTTATACTCTCAGTGTTTACCAAGTCCTGCTCCAGAATATTTTTGCTCAATTACATTTTTGGACATAGCTGTTTATCAGTCTTGAGTTTGTCTTTCTTTCGTTGTTTTGCTGACAGACCGGGGGGTGGTGGAGCTCAGAGGCAGAGCAGGTTCTGAAGGAGTCATGGCCCTCAGAGGAGACACTGTCTGCAGCTCAACATGCACTAGAGCACTTTACAGTCTTCATCAAACAGGCCAGAGTAAGAATACTACTGCTACTGTTACTTTTACTGCTACTACTACTACTACTACTATTATTACTACTACTGCTGCTGCTGGTACTGTTACGACTACGTCTACCACCATGACTACTGCTCCTGCTACTAGTACTTCTGCTATTATGTAGTTTTGTAAGATGGTTTTAAAAGATAGAAACACATAATTAGCTAAATATATAAATGTCTGAATAATCTTTATGCACTGACAGAAGCTTAGCCTTTACTATCGCTCTTGTATGCTCACTGTGTGCTTTCTCTCCAAACAGAAGATAGTCGAAGGGAGTAGTTCATATACACATTCCTCTGATTGCAGGAGAAGCAGGAGTCTTCCTCTAAACTGATGAAGAATGCAGTAAAAATTCTTCAAAGTACAACAGAGCCCAGTCCTACCACAGAAGTACTGCACACACTGGTCAGTACTTTCCAGTCCAACGTGGCCGACTTCATGGTGCGAGCCGAGAGGAGGCACAGAGACCTGCACACTCTGGTGCAGGTTTACTCTTTCTGTGAGCAGGTGAGGACAGGCATCGAGAAAAAAAAAAAAAAATAAAATAAAATAAATCAATAAATAAATAAATATATATAAATATAGAATATATATATATATATATATATATATATATATATATATATATATATATATATATATATATATATATATATAATATATATATATAAAATTCTATAGGTCATTACAGAATATATCAAATAAATATTGAGCTGATTTTTGTTGTACAGTGAGGTCTTGGCTCTCGTGAGCAGTGACTTATGAAATGATCTGATTCAGCATTGGTGAATGTTTCTTTTGGATATTATACATGACAAAGTGCAGTGTAATCAATCAGGAAAACTCTCATATGCCCCAATATGGGAGTATGACATCATCACATTCTAGCAGGGGTGTAGTGGACGTGGTACGTGGGGGTACACCACCTACTTCTCCCAAAAGGAGAATAAATAACAAATGTAAAATAAATTAATGTAAAATAAATAAATATAAAATAGCCTAAAACTTAAATGTCAAACCGTAGCTCTTGGCAATGGTGAAAACAGCCTGCATAGTGTTCGGAAGAGATCACTTTTCTTCCCTTATCTGTCTCCTTTAATTTGACATTTGTTTTCCACCTCTGATTAGGACAGTACTAAGTATTTTCCAGCTTCTTTAAGAGCACTACTTAAGTTCCACCTCTACTTTAAGACAGTACGATACCTTTCCACTTTTCCCAATACATGCACTTTCAGATTTCCGGTCACTGCTGAATGCTTGTGTTTTGTTCTTTTATCTTTTTTTAACCTTTGTCTGTTCAGTTCTTACCTTTGGACCATTTCAAGCTCTTCACTGGACTTGAGCGACTTGAAATGCAATGAATAACTGGAAAAATGAGGGTCTAAAACTTTTGACCAGTAGTTTATGTATATATACTTATGCTTTTGTCCATTTAATCTCTGGCTTAGTTCTGTTTACTCCTTCTTTAGTCTTGCTCTGTGACTCAAACTGCACAGATGAATGAGGTTAGTGGAGTCAGAGACTCCAAAAATACAACACAAGGTTTCCCCCTCATCACAAGCAGCGGAAGGAACCGTATCATTTAATAATTTAATATCTCTGTGTGTTTTCATTTCCAGGCCTCGTCTTTTGTCGATGAGTGCAGTTGCTTCCTGTCCCATCTTGATTCTGAGAGCTCTTCCCCTGCGCCTGACCCCTCCCCTCAGCTCCACATGTACCAGACCAAACTAGGCACAGAACTTAGCCCCTCACGCTTCCAATCCATCAAATCCCTTATTCCCTGTTTAACCCCGGGAGCAGCCCGGGTGTGGAACGCTGCCTGGGAACGCCGCCAAAAATTACAGCTTCTTTTGGAAAAAATTCAACTTGAGAGGAAGAATTGTGTTGATAATGCAAGCAAGAACTCTGCAGTCTGTGAAGGGAAGGAGCCAAGCATTCAAGAAGGCGCTGTCACATCTTATAAGGACATGGGTAGCAATTCAGAGGAACGAAATCCAAATGGTGGGAGTGAACACGCCAAAGATAAAAATCGAGATGACAAAACTATTGAAAATGTTGCACAAAAGCCAAGAGAGCACAGCAGTGAAGCTGATTTGATGAACTGTAATGTGGAATTTCCCTATCATAAACAACTAGGCCGCTCCCTAAGTGAAGGCTCAAAGTTCAAGGCAAAGTTCACGCTCCTGGCTGATTTCTCGCCCCTAAACATGCGTCAAAAAGTGCCCAGGGACGAGCATCCAAAGTCGGGGAGAAAGCTGTCCCTGCCCTGTAACCCGGTGGAGAGTCTGAGGAGGGGTGGAGGTGATGGAGAGGGCGCGGCCAGTCCCACAGGTCACCAGAATGCTCCCGAGATGATACACAAACCAGGGCAAAACAACGGAACCAATGTACAGTAAGTGGTGATGTCATGTATGTGTGGGACTTGATCTTGAAGACTGTCTTTATGACTGAGGACATTTTACTACATTAGACTTGTCTAGACATCTTCAGGAGTGATGTCATCTAAGAGGCCGCCCACACAGATCAACATGAGAGTCATCTGCACAGTGCTCCTTTGTTACACAGGAGATGGAATCAGTACCTTTAACTGCAGCTGAACTTTCACAAAGATCAGTAGAAACAATTACTTTGCTGGGAATGTTCCACAGTTTAGCAATAAACATATATGCCATGCAATCATCACAAAACTGCAAAAAGCAAACAAAACAAAACAACAACAAAAAAAACCGTTCTTAATAATAATAATGCATTAGTCTTGTACAGTGCTTTTCCACACACATAAGGACACTTTACAGTTTTGTGCATTAATAACAAACTTTTATCACAACAGCCAGAAGTGTGACGATGTTGGTAAACGTCACTTTTGGTTAATGCAAAATATCTGTGTAAATGTGTGTCGTATTCTCCAGCAGCTTCATAAATCTGCCCCATCACCAAATCTTCAACCAACAAACTCCACAAAGGATAAACATTCTTCATGAACAATTTATCCACAACTATCATGGGAAGAAAGACAAAAACTTAAAGGAAACAATGACGACGCATTAGTGACACACTCAACAAAACTAACTTTATGAATAACATAGAAGTAATAAGTAATTCATTAATAAGTAACTTGTTCACTCAGACTGATTCTAGAATTAAAATTAAAAATCAATTTCATGATGTAGATATTAGCATAGATAGATTTGTGCAGTTTGAATGCTACAGATGTTCACAGATCACATCACACTCATCATTCACATTCAAACTGCACAAATCTCTCTGTGCTAATATCTACATCATGAAATTGGTTTAAAATTTTAATTCCAGGTTTATAGGTTTACTCTACATCGTGGTACTTCCGGCTGTTGTCAAAAAGGTCTATTCACTCCTCACCTCGGGCAAACTGAGGGCAGCGAGGCTGCAGATCTGTGCCATTGGCCTGTTCCACCTGTTATTTACACATACACCACATTCATACTAGACAATGTGGATGAAGTGTCTTGCCTAAGGACACAACAACAGTTTCCACTAGAGCCAGTAGTATTCCCACTGGTCTCCCACCCAAGTCCTGACCAAGCCCAGCCCTGCTGAGCTTCTGAGATTCTGAATGAAGTCTGGTCTTGCCTGGTGACTTTGCAAGCTTGTCTCCATGGCAATAAATTTGTTTAATGTCATACTCTGAAAAAAACTTATGACTTAGTACTCACTAAAATGCTTTTGGGAAACAAAATATTTCTAAGATCTTTTTGCAAATTAGACTTCACCATAGAAAATGACGTGCACATTTGTGCACTGGGGCCTCATGTAAATACCTTTGGGATGTTTTAGTTTCTTCTATGTTGCATGTTTATTTATTATTGATAAATGAGAATCCCACTGAGACACCGTTACGTATCAAAATATACCAGATTATAACATTGTCCCCTCATCAAAAACATGCCTGAAAAGGTTTTAGATGTCATCCATGCATGTTTGAGTATTTTAGTGATCTCTCCTGGGCACTATTCAAACTCTCCTTATGGTTAGCAGTACAAGCCTGTACAAGGCTCCGCCCACAAGTCAACATCACTCATGCTCTGACATGACCCAACATGAATATACAAAAATAGGATACAAAATTGTAAACAATAACTTGTACACAAACCTGATGTGATATGCAAGTGCTTCCATAAGTGAAACGCACGCACCCCGTACAAGTAAAGTACCCCCTCTTTAATAAATATATCAGTGTGGTTTTTTTTTTTGTTTTTTTTTCTGGTCATGTAAAAGTGTGTGTGTCTCTCCTCAGGCGCCTAAGCTGTATCCTGTCCGAGCTGCTGTCCACAGAGCGGGAGTACGTGCGCGCGCTCGGGTTCGTCCGTGAGCACTACTGTCCAGAGCTGGAGAGACCTGACGTGCCACAGGAACTAAGGGGCCAGAAGGGGGCAGTGTTCTCAAACCTGGAGAAGATACACGAATTCCACCGACATCACTTCCTCCCAGAGCTGGAGCGCTGTGTGGACGAGCCAATCAGAGTGGGCCGCTGCTTTCTCAGACATGTACGTAGGATTGGACCACGACATGGATCTACTCAAATAACTAGATAGGCTATTACTGATTCGACTTGTCATGAGTTGGCTTAGTGGCCACTCTTTGATAAAACTCCTGCTCAGAAAGGATTTTTCCAATAAAGCGCAATGTCATCATTAACTGCTGTTGTTCGGCTGACAGGGACCTACAGCTTTCATCACAAAGGTCAGATTTTGTAGCGAGTTTTACCTGTTTTTAGATCATAAACTTTTCTCAGACTTCAGACATGTGCCATTGAGCTCGACACACTGATTGAACGGACGGCCATGTTTAGGCCCTGGGGCTTGTACTTCTGCTATAGCTGCTACTACTATTACTGTTGCTATTACCACTATTATGATTACAATGATTAGTACAAGGAGCAAAGGGAGGGGAGGACTCAAGAGCGTCAAAACTGAAACTTATGAAACTTGCCAATACACTGTTTTCAGAAAATATAGCATTTTCAAACCAACAAACGGTAACATGGTGATCTAAATATGTTCAGTGTTAGCAGTAATACCCCAGAGAAGTCATATAGCTCCTCTTTAAGGAAGCTTATTCCTTAGTTCCATCTGCTCCTGCTCAAATATGTCTGAAACTAGAACTGTCCAGACCCCAAACACACAACAGTCCATGGCCAAAGATGAGCTTCATGCAAAACACTTCTGCAGCGGCATTCTCGAGAAAATCACAGTTTTTCATCAGAATCCTGTTCAAGCTTTGACCTGAAGAGATGATGTGAGCCAGATGTGCAGTTTAATATATGGCACCTCCACTGTTCAAAGACACAAGTTACACAACAGTTTTACAGCTGTTAAATTGGTTTCAGACAATAGAATGTGCAATGTAATGTAAACGGAGACTGCAGTGGTTTAAAGCATGAATCTCTGGTTTTAACTGTGACAGAAAGTGCATGTGGGAGCTGGTGTTAGTATCAGCAATGAGTGAGATATACACACTGGTAATCCTGTCATTATTACTACATTATTTATATGTTTGATACAGTTTGTGGTTAAGACAGACAGATATTTTGGCCTCCAGTCTGTTTGGAATGTGCACCTCCTCCACCGTACTGAGTGAGTCTAGTGCTCTTCCAGTCACAGAGCTGGTCTTCTTCACCAGCTTCTGCAGCCTCCTGCCTCCAGGCTGCTGCCCCTACACACCATCCACTGGCCACCACAGTGTGATCAAGAGCAGCTCCAAACATCAAATGCATTTAAAAGGTTGTAGTCTCTTTTTTTGATGTATAGGAACAAAAACAAAGCTAGAAATCAGCCATGAAGTTTCTGCTAGGATCAAAAGTGACATCACTACTCACAACTCGATTAGTGACAATGTCCATTCTCCTGCTATATTCTCCAACTACACCACAACATGTGCAGATTCACTAGAGACATTTGACCTGCTCCATCTCAGGCTCACACTACAGGGACACAGGAGGATGGGAGGGCATCTGACACATTGGGCTATAGAAGGATGGGAGAACATATTGTTAATGATGAATTGTATATGTTTATTTCCAGAGGGACAGCTTTGCCCTGTATGCACTTTACAGCAAAAACAAGCCAGTCTCCGACAAACTCCTCATCAGCCATGGGAAAACATTCTTCAAGGTGAGAAGACAGATTTGTTTGATTACGCTGATTGAATCTATCAGCATTGCTCGTGCACTAAAGATTTTTTTATTTTACTGGTTGACCAATATTTATTTCAGATTTACTGATTAGTATACAGTCATCTTTGTAAAATTGTATGAATCGTTAAGATAAAAACAAAAAATGCCTACAAGTATTTTATACTGTATTCTTATGGTATTTAGTGTAGTCTATATAGTAATTGGTTGTGTTCATATTTTAGACTTTGATGATTCCATCATTTCAGATGTTGTGCAGGGGGCTATATACTAACTCTATGGGAGATTCATTGTTTTTAAAGAAAAAAGTAATTTATGATCCATAAATGTTGAACCTTATTATCAAACTTGTCATATTAATTTTATATCTTAAAGTCCTTTCAGCTGACAAAACTCACATGTTTGAGGTTGAAAAATGGCACCACTTTCTGAAGTGATTGTGAAAAATTATTTAGATTTATTTTATTTCTCCTGACAAAGAAGACACTGAACTTTATGACAATTTTTGTTTCATGTGGATAGGTCCAGTAATTATAGAGATATGAACCATAAACCAGGTTAACAAATCTACAATCTGACAGTTACAGCAAAGTGCACAAATGATCTCACCTGCTGTACTTCCAACTAAACCAGCTCTTTTTGGTCAGATTATGTATATAAAACTCAGATTAAAGTCTAATTTTAGTAACAGAGTTTTAGACTGTTAGAGAAATGCTTAAGTTGCAATGAAGTTATTAAAATGTACATAAGCTAGCAATGGAAACTTTTGCATCACCTATATGTGTTAAAGTGTTTTGAAACCATGAAACTATGTTGTGCTATGTCTGCATTGTATATCACCGTCTGTGCAAATAGAGAAGTGCGAAAGGTCTAAGTGCAGATGTACGGGGAACTGAAAGTCCTTGAACCTGTGTTCTAAGACAGTGAGATATGAGGCGGGAGACGGTGGTGGAAGGAAGTGGAAACTGTCGCAAAGTTGTGTAACTATGTATGTGTTTTTAATAAAAGGGTTGTGCCGATGTCATACGAGGGGGAGACTGCTCAGTCCAGCCACAGTAGCGGTTGGAGTGTGAAGGCTCACACGTTGACCCCGTGCACACGTAAAACTTTGACAAAGTCTCGAGCACTGATTTTTCTGACCAAGGTGATCTAATCCACAGTCAGCTGGAGGCTACTGGAGATTGATACTGTTTAATTCTACACTGTTTGTGTATTATTTTCTGACATAGACAGAACAGTGCCTTTAGTTAGCTTCACCTCCCAGAGAATGTTGATGACATCAGTTGCAAAGTATCAGTATTAAGTGTTCATGTCTTTCTTTTCCTCCAGCAAAAGCAGGTGTCTCTGGGCGACCGTATGGACCTGTGGTCGTACCTGCTGAAGCCAGTGCAGAGGATCAGTAAATACAGCCTGCTCCTCCAGGACGTGCTGCGCGAGTGTGGGCCTGAACAGCAGGGGGCGCTGGAGGAGGTGCGCCAGGCTCTGGACGTAGTACAGTCTCAGCTTCGCCATGGCAACAACCTGCTCGCAATGGACGCCATTCAGAACTGTGACGTAAGGAAAACTATAAAAACATAGCAGAGTTGTGTTTTGTTTCATTCACACATGTTTGAGTAATTGTCTTTTATTAGTCTGTCTACATCTCCAAAGCTCAAAATCCTCTGTTCCACCTTGTGATGTCATGAAGCAGCATTAGGATTTGTTTGCTTGACGGCAGGAGTGTACTTTTTTGTTTAACCAGTTGCTGCTGTTTGGTCGTGACATATGTAATGCACTGAATCCCATAGGAAGAAGGGCAATAACGTCTTTCCCCTTGATAAAATTCACCAAACATTCTCTTTGTTCCGGCTTTAAATCCTCGATCTCGGGAATCGTTGCCAACAAAGAATGTCTGGCTTTGTCTACATCCATCTCGGCGCTTTGTTTACTGTTGTGCTGTTCCACAAAAGGGACCCAGACAGATGCTTGAGTTTGATGTCATGGCTTTAGAGCTCTTCGCTGATTGGCCCGTGCGCGATCTACAACTTCCGGGGTTCTTGCAAACCATCTAGTGTATTCCCATTTCTGAGCTAGTTGCTGGAGAGAAATTAAATTGAGCTCCTTCCATGTGACTGAGCTCCTCACCCTATCTCTAAGGGTACGCCCAGCCACTCTGCGGAGGAAACTTATTTTGGCCGCTTGTATCTGCCATCATGTCCTTTGGTCACCACCCAAAGCTCATGACTGTAGGTGAGGGGAGGAACATAGACTGAATAAATCAAGAGCTTTGCCTTTCAACTCCTTTTACCTTTAAATCAGTAGAGATTGGCAATTCCAGGCCAGAAATGATCCAAATGATTCTAGTGAAACTACACCCACATTGCCTAGTGCGCCCCTCAGGCCTCGTGGTGGAAGGAACTGAGTGTGGAGTGAATAAATAATGAACAAAACTGTTAAGAGACTTTGAGCATCTGGAAAAGTACTATATATGACTAATGCATTATTATGATTAAATACGGGACTATACAGGATTACTCAAACATGCATGAATCACTAAAAATACAACCTTGTATAAGGTAATTATGAGGGATGAGAGTTAATCACAGACACAGGGAGAACATGCAAACTTTATACAGAGAGGTCTTACTTGACCCCGTGTACCTAACCTGAAGTCCTCCAGTAACACGAAGCAGGGACACAATGACTCCAAAATGCCTCTGCATGTCCTCCTCACTTCAGGGCATGCATTCTTAAACATGATTCACATATTCTTTCAACACTTCTTTATTTCTTTTGGCAGTTTTCCCAAATGAAAATCCTCTTCTCCATCATATCCTAACTCCTCTTTTGTCTGATTAGTTCATGATTTCTCTACAGTGACTTGAGCTTGTGCAAACTCACCTGTCAAATAATAACCCACACAGGACGAGTCCAAACTAATCTGTTCCTAATCTGTTCCTAGAAACTCCGAGCCTGATCTGTATTTTTATTTTGCTATTTAGTTCATAAATCAAGGTTATCGTGAACATTAATAACGGACCAATCAGGTGCTTCTTTCCCCGAGGTCGCTCCTGCTAGCAACGTAGTAGGTTGATTGACATGTTTGTTGCTAAGCGACTGCCCCCACCCCAAGAGAGGGGGGAGTGCACCTTCTACAGCCTGGCTCCTGCATGGTTCTTAGGTTTCGCTCTCCGATTTCCAAATATGGTCCCCGGTTGTAGATTAGCTGCTATAACTGCCAGCCTCCCTGAGCTTCATTTGGCTGACATCACACTGCCTTATTCCACTTCCTCATACATCTATGCATCTATCTATTGGCACATGTAGATGATGGCACATGTTGATTTTGTTCTTGCAGGTGAACCTGAAGGAGCAGGGGGCGCTCATCCGTCAGGACGAGCTCTTGGTGACGTTCAGGAAGAGGAAGTGTCTGCGACATGTTTTCCTGTTTCAGGAGCTGATCCTGTTCAGTAAAACCAGGAAGACCGACGTGGCAAACGAGACCTATGAGTACAAGCAATCCTTCAAGGTACTACTGATACTACAGCTGCTACTGCTACTGCAACTACCACTATCACTTCTACTAATACTGCTGCGCAGCCATCCTTCAAGGTATTACTGTTACTACAGTTACTACTACTGCAACTATTACTACAGCTAATACTACTACTGTACAAGCATCCTTCAAGGTACTACTGTTACTGCAGCTACTAGTACTACCTGTGTTAAAGTCATTCACTACTACTACACTGCAGCTATCACTAGATGTTACGTCCTGGCTGTTACTCTTACTTAGTATCTGTAGTTTTCCCAAATACTTTTTTACTCTTACTTGAGTAACATTTTTGACTTTACTCACCACTGCAAACATGTATAAGAGAAGTCATTCAAGGTTCTACAACTACTACAACTACTATTACTGATACTATCACTACTACTAAATTTCCAACTGTGTACAAGCAGTCCTTTAAGGTACTACAACCACTACTACTACTGCTCCTACTATCACTATTACTAGTAGTACTACTGTGTACAAATGTATAAAAGTGAGTCATTTAAGGTGGCATTAATACTGTGCAGTGTCCTTATTTTGACCCATGAAAGTGAGAAGTACCCACTTCACTGTTACCATGGTATCGGAACTTTAAGTAGAAAATTTTCACCCAACAAAGGCGTTTGGGTTAAGTATGCCTTCTATGACTGTGGATGCACGACCATCCCCCGCATCATTTCCCTCTCTGGACCCTGGAGCTGATTGATAAGATGGATAGAGACTTGTGTTCAGCAGCAAGACAATCCAAACTTCTCTAACCCTACAAAGTACAAGTTTCTCCTACAAAGAAATCAACTGACTGAAGTAAATTCAGATAAACAGGCCATAACCAAGATACAAATAAAAGACACTGCTGTGTCATCAAACAATCTCAGTTAATGACTTTCTCCAGAGAAAGAAGAGGAATGGTGTGAACTGTTCATGCTGTGAATGGTGTCAGTGTTTTTGAATATTGTTCTGTAAATGTCATGTGAATATTTGTATTTGTGTAAATCTGTTATTGGTTAATGCACATGTGAGATCACAGAGCTGTCCTCATCTCCCACTCAGCTTTACCCAAACTTCATCTCATTGGTTTAGCCTTCCCCCGGTAAAACTTACGTAGGTGGTTATAACAGGATATAGACTGTCATCACTGAGGAGACCGCACATACAGAAACAGTTCATTTTGGACCTTCAACCAGAGAAGACAGAGAAACAAGGAGAAACAGAGCATCTCCTTATCTTCTCTGCTGCTCAAAGAACATTCCACAAAGACAATGCCTGAGAAGTTAAAACTTCCAGTTCTCTCTTCCAAATTTGTGCCCATCTTTTGACATGTTTTATCCAAATTCCTGTAGCTGATCTGACCAAAAGCAAAGCTTTCACATTTTCAAATTTTCAAATGTAAATATTTGCATTTTTGTAGTTAACGGACTTTTGATCAGTGCTGCTTTCTAGACCTCATGGACACTGGGGAAGTGTCTCCTGTTCCTCTTTAAACAGAGGATACAGCATTCCTTCAGCCTGACGCTGCCTGAGCCTGGAGTTATTGTTTAGATCACATGGCCTCCGTCCATCTCATTTGTTTCTTCAGAACTGAAGCCCTGAGAACTTCAGACCTCCAAACCATTGGACCTCTGGACCACACTGTGACTAACATCTCCACTCTCCTGGCAGTATGCGCACACTTCACAGAATTACTTAATTGATCAGTTTAGAGTCAACATATAGCCTTAGATAACTCTTACACTTTATCTATTCTCCAATCAAACCAGCCTACACAACCTACACAACCCACACAACCCACAGAGCCCACACAACTCACACAACCCACACAACCCACACATCCCACACAACCCACACATCCCACACAACCCACACAACCCACACATCCCACACAACCCACACATCCCACACAACCCACAGAGCCCACACAACTCACACAACCCACACATCCCACACAACCCACAGAGCCCACACAACTCACACAACCCACACAACCACACAACCCACACAACCACACAACCCACACACTCACACAACACACAACCACACAACCCACACAACCCACACATCCCACACATCCACACACATCCCACACAACCCACAGAGCCCACACAACTCACACAACCCACACAACCCACACATCCCACACATCCCACACATCCACACAACCCACAGAGCCCACACAACCCACACAACCACACAACCCACACATCCCACACAACCCACACATCCCACACAACCCACAGAGCCCACACAAACCCACACACCACACAACCACACAACCACACAACCCACACAACTCACACACCCACACAACCACACAACCCACACAACCCACACAACCCACACACACACCACACATCCCACACATCCCACACATCCCACACAACCCACAGAGCCCACACAACCCACACATCCCACACAGGAGCCTACACTCATTTACATATTCCATAAATGTTTCTGTTTAACTTGGTCAGTAAATACTCATAAACCACAGTTTGCTTTGGTGAATAGTGATGTTATATCCAATTATGGGTCAATGATATGGACAAGAATTTACAAACCCTCAGAACAATTGGTTAATTAATAAATAATTAATTAACTTAGATAATATTTCTCAACGTTTGTTGAGTGGTGCCCCAAGCTCGACTTCTAGTCAAAGCCAAACCCTCACAAATGTCATCAGGCCTTTAATATCAATTACCCCCCTTTATAGAACTACAACTGAGGCAATCATTTACTCAAAAACTTTCCTGAGGCTACTGAGTAGCAAGGAAACATACAGCGTTGCACAATCTTTTCTAAAGCACAGTTTCTGTAGTATTTCCAGAGAAACTTCCTCAGGTCACATCAATAAAAATTAAATCTGTGGAGGATTATAACGGAGAAATCTACAGCCAGTCGTCTGTCGGGAAACGACTGTGCTTTGTGTGTGTGTGTGTGTTTCAGACGTGTGACATTGGTCTGAGAACGTTTTTGCTGTGAGGCATGAGTGCAAACCACTCAGCCACCGTGCTGTGTGTGTGTGTGTTTCAGACGTGTGACATTGGTCTGTGTGTGTTTCAAACGTGTGACATTGGTCTGTGTGTGTTTCAGACGTGTGACATTGGTCTGTGTGTGTTTCAGACGTGTGACATTGGTCTGTGTGTGTGTTTCAGACGTGTGACATTGGTCTGTGTGTGTTTCAGACGTGTGACATTGGTCTGTGTGTGTTTCAGACGTGTGACATTGGTCTGTGTGTGTTTCAGACGTGTGACATTGGTCTGTGTGTGTTTCAGACGTGTGACATTGGTCTGTGTGTGTTTCAGACGTGTGACATTGGTCTGTGTGTGTTTCAGACGTGTGACATTGGTCTGTGTGTGTTTCAAACGTGTGACATTGGTCTGTGTGTGTTTCAGACGTGTGACATTGGTCTGTGTGTGTTTCAGACGTGTGACATTGGTCTGTGTGTGTTTCAAACGTGTGACATTGGTCTGTGTGTGTTTCAGACGTGTGACATTGGTCTGACACAGAATTTTGGGGACAGTGGTCTGTGCTTCGAGATCTGGTTCAGAAAGAGAAAGAGCCAGGACACATACACTCTCCAGGCCGACAGCAGAGCGCTGAAGGAGGACTGGACCAGAGACCTGGAGAAGATCCTCTGGGAACAGGCTCTCAGGAACAAAGGTAAGGCCCGGTTTAGTCCTGGTTTAGTCCTGGTTTAGTCCTGGTTTAGTCCTGGTTTAGACCTGGTTTAGACTTGATTTAATGCTGGTGTAGTCCGGTGTTATAGTTTATTCCTATTTAAGCCTGGTTCAGTCCTGTTTTAATCATGGTTTAGATTTGATTTATTCCTGGTTTTGTCCTGGTTTTGACTTTTCCCATCTTGATTTATCCTGATATGTTTTAGGTTTGACTTATTCCTAGTTCAATCCTGGTTTGAACTTGCTTTAGATGTGGTGTAGTCTGGTTCAGATGTTCCAGAGCCTGAGTGAGTGCTTCCTGTTTGCAGAGGTGCGCATGCAGGAAAGAGTGTTTTTGGGACTTGGAAACAAACCTTATAAGGACATCCAGCCGAGCGACGCCGCCATCAACTCCAGAGAAGTCCACTGTGGGCCTCTTGGGAAAGGTAACTCACCAAAACTGTATAATTAATATGTATTTTGCACCTCAAAAACTCCCTGAAATGTCTTGTTGTTAGACACATTTCACTAAAACATATGTATATTTAAAGCCAAAGTATGAAATCTTTTTGCCCCAAAACAAGCGGGCTTGCATCTCCACAAACCTAAGAAGGAAGAAACCAAACTCCATAAACCTAGACAATGTTCTGAAGTATGGTTTATGCAGGTGACTTTCCACTGCCAGAAAGTTGCATACTATTCATTTAAGTATTTGTTTATGTTGCCTAGTTTTACTGGCTGGTTGGCCGTGGGCAGCAGAAGACATACAGAGGTACTTCTGTAAATGCTACATAAAAACCATAATGTTAACAAGAGCCAAAGCGTGTCTAATGTACATAATAATAACTGTTATTTGGAGGAGGATTTTTTCTTTTTCTTCTTGAGTTTTCAGATGATCTTAAAACTTTTGTGACAGTGTTTTGGTAAAGTGTTCATTGTGTCTCCATGGTAACTGCTGAACATTCCACCAAGAGATACTCCTATGTAGAGATATGTAGAACCCACCGTGATGTCACTGCAAAGTATCAATTGATTATGTTGGTAGTATAATTTCTATTTAAAGCTCTAGTACTTATTGTAATTTTTCTTTTCTTCTTTTTTTCAATCCAACATTTCTTCTTCACAAACTACCCCGTAACCACCTGTATCTAAAGCCTTACAAAAGTTGAATCTGTTTTGATTTCACTGGAGTCCTCTCTCTCCTCCAGACTTCAGGCCCTCGTCTCTCTCCTCCTTCGACTCCTCGGAGTCACGTGATGTAGTTCCTGTGATGCGGCAGAAGTCGATTGGCTCGTGCAGTAGCTCCTCCTCCTCCTCTTCGGGGCGGGGCTCTCTGTCTCCGGGGCGATACCTGAGCGGACCACAGGGGGGCGCTGTGAGGACAGGGCATCTGGAGGAAGACGAGCTGGACCAGGACAGACACAACCTGCTCTGTGAGTTTAAAGGACACATATGTATAATATGTGTCCTTTGGTGGTGGTCGGAGGGGCTGATGGCACAGATTGGCATCAGTCTGCCCCTGGGCTACTGTGGCTACAATAGTAGCTTACCACCACCGGGTGTGGAGTGAATGAATAATGAACTGTAAAGCGTCTTTGAGTGTCCAAAAAAGCACTATATAAAACTGATGCGTTATTTTTATTATTATTATTATTACTTTTTTCATGCTTTGGGTGATCCTGCTTATACTCCGGTGCTTATACTCTGGTGCAACTTATATATTAACATTTTCAGACCTGCAGAAAAAGCCGCTGTCCTGCTGCAAGTAGTGAAATATGCAGCAGAAAGAAAGTTTAGAGTGAGCTAGAAATTTGTGAAGGACTAACAGAAAGCGGGAATGGAGAACACAGCTTCACGCCAGCCAGGAGGGTGCAATATGTCTGGACTTCAGTGACAACCGAAGTTGCACGGAGTTGCTTAGAAGTGACACAGAGGATGAAGAATTCAATGGATTCAATGGATTTAGTGATTTGGAGTGAGATCGATAGTCTGGTAAACTTATGTTTTATTGTTTATGCTGTAGTTATCTGAATAACTGTTAATATGTTACGTTAACATACCAGACACCTATTTAGCTGTTGTTCTCTGTTCTGTGGTTATTACTAGAACTTGTCTGTCAAGATGAAATGTCAGTTCCTGGTCTTTGATTTTATAAAACAAATTTACCCCAAATAGTGTGACTTATAGTCTGGTGAGACTTATATATCTTTTTTTCTTCTTTATTAACAAATTTTTTGGCTGGTGCAACTTATTACTTTGGAGCGACTTATAGTCTGGAAAATACAGTAACTTTTCTGAAGGGTCCGTCAAGTGCTACAGGTCAGATCTGTGGAGAGGCACCCCACTCACAGTCAGAATGCCTGTTTTTCTAGGTATTTTTGAGCTATAAAACCACCTGTAATTTAATAAATGTAAGGTGGAGCTGTTTAATGTCACACTGTGGACCCCACACTAGAAAAAGTTACACAGTGTACCTTTAATGTCTAAAACAAAATGTCAAAGAAACAATGTTTAAGAGCATGTTTAAAGACAAATATGTTATAAAAGTACAAATACTGTACAATTGGTGGACTAATTATTATTATTATTAATTTTATTTATTATTATGAAATAATAATAACTGTAACTGCTGCTGTCAGGCTTCTCATTTTGGTCTTAAAATGTTTGTATTAAAACACTGTACATGATCCTGGATTTTTTATTTCATTATTTTGTCCCTAAATCAAGAAGTAAAGGGGTGTTACCTTCAATAGCGTCACTCTAGATTGGCTCTTTGGTTACTATGATGCTCTCAATTGGAAACCCAAATATGAAACTCAGCTCCAGATTCGCTCCTATAACTTCAAGCCTCAATGAGCTTCATTTGACTGGAGCTGAATGATGTGGGTGACACCACACTTCCTCAGTCCTCTTTTTTATACAGTCTGTGATCCTGGATCTGATCTGGTCCACTGCTCCTGATGGGTTTAACCCAGAGACACTGAAGGATGGCTTATAAAAATGTACCATGACTGTGAAATGTGGTGATAAAAATATTTTCTCCTGGAGACAGTGCAAAGTGTTCACAGCTGTGAGTCTGGAATGCTTTTGTTCAGAGGTCAGAGGTCAAAGGTGAAGGATGTTTTAAGCAACTAAATGACCAACAAGGCCACCAACACCTGGACTTAGTGTATTTTTTAGATTCAGTTTCAGTGTGTCATTTTCAGTGTGTAGGACCTTATAATCAAATCTGACCAAAAAATAAAATAAAGAAATAAAATAAGCCTCCAACAGAATTCACACTAAAATACAAAGGGGACACGTGTTTAGATATAATTTTATGTATATGAGGCAAACTGACTCTTGTGAACTTTAAGCCATGTTGTGTTTGTTTCATTTACAGATGTTTGAATAATCCTTCATTGTTAATCTGTATGCATCTCCAAAGCTCAAAATGCTCAGTTCCACCTTGTGATGTCATGAAGAGGTAGTTTTCAAGTTAACCCTTGTGCCTTGTTGAAAATGTGTGTACACTGAGAATGTTGCATACAAATTGTGTATTTAGTGTTGAAACATTAATATTTTTCAAAGATTTATTTATTAATTTTTTTATTTGCATTTTTTCATGAAGGGGTTCTCTTCAAAATGACTTTCCATTATAATTTCATCATGGGCACTTTTTTTTTTTTTTTTTTACATTGACTGTGACCAGTGTGACTTTTAAAACTGCTATAAAATATTTACTTTGTAAATTACCGTTTGTTGTGTTGCGCTCCATAGACTCCCATCATAAAATGCCCATTTTTATTAAAAGCCTAAAAATTTTTTAAGTAATGGTAAAAAAATGATGGAACTCAGTGGATACATAAATTTCCAGTTTTTGTGTCTACTAAACCTCTCATATTGCCAAAATTGGTTTCATCAGGGGGAAACTCACATAAGTCTAAATGCTGTAAAAACGCACGTCTGTGTGAATTTTCATGACAATCGAACAACCACAACCAGAGTTATCACAATAAATGTACCTTCAGATACACTAATGTCCCTTAACAAAGCACAGGGGTTAACAGCTCCTTTTACCATCAGTTCAGTAGAGATGGGCAAGTCAAGAGCTGAAATGATCCAAATGATTCTAGTGAAGGATTTTAAAAGTGAGGGGAGCATTTCCTGTATCACCACATGTAATACCACACATGACATCACAAGGTGGAACAGAGTGTTTTCTGTTTAAGGGAAGAACTCATTCTAAATGTCCAGGGTTTGTGTGTTAAACGTGAATGAAACAAAACACAACCGCAGGTCTGTTTTTGAGGAGGAAACGACATTAGAACACAGATCAGACAGTAACCTAAAACAGACTCTTAAATATGTGTGTAGGAGGTGGACCCTCTGCATGTGAGCATCCTTCAGTGTCAGACTGAGTGAAAGAGTGAAATGGATCTTTGGTTGTAAAATACTGTCAAGTGTTGAATTGTGACAGGAGTGTGTTGTGTTGCAGTGGACACTTCGGATTGGTGTGAAGGAGACGACACCTCCTCCCTTTGCTCCTCTGTCAGCACAGTCAAGCACACACAGGTACTACTACTACTACTACTACTACTACTACTACTACTACTGCTACTACTGCTACTACTACTACTAGTACTACAGTAGTGCTTTTGTCGTATATCAATGAAACCAACTGTAACTTGTGATAGAAGCATGAGTAACATTTGTTTTTGTGTAGACTGGGAGCTCATGTGTGGGCAGGTCTACAGAAGTGTGACATGTCCTCACTGCACACACGTGCTCCTGGTAAGACTCACTGTACCTAATAATGTGACCTCCTCTTATTGGGATGCTAAAAATACATTTTGTGCTAATCCTTGTGTTGTGGTTTCTTTATAATCTGATTAAGTGACACTGAATCTTGTTCTGTTCTTGTGTAGATGTGACCAGCGGACTGGAGCCCAGCCGTCACTGCAACTAACACCACTTAATGTCCACTTTATGTAAATAGAATTGTGCCGTGCTTTCATTTCATGTTATGGAAAATGCTGCCACTTAAAGGGTCCGTACTGCGCTATTTTCTGATCTCTGTTATAACTTAGTTTCCTCATCAGAAAACAGACCCGGAGTTGTGTTTTGTTTCATTCACATATGTTTAACACATAAACCTGCATATATAGGCTCTCAAACCGAAAACACTCTGTTCCACCTTCTGATGTCATATGGTAGCACTATAGACCAGTGTTTCCCAAGGACTGGGTTGTGACCTTCAGGTGGGTGGCAAGAGATTTTTTTGGTTCACTTTGTCATGATCTGCTTGTAGGTCTGTGATATACAGTTGTACACATGGATCTGTGTGCTTATCATTTTTCTGGATCAGCATTTCATCACAATATCCTTTTCTCAGTAGGGCCAGTATTTCTATGCTTATTCCTTTCAGTACTACATATACACTACCCGTCAAAAGTTTTAGAACACCCTAATTTTTCCAGTTATTTATTGCAATTGAAGTCGCTCAAGTCCAATGAAGAGCTTGAAATGGTACAAAAGTAAGGACTGAACAGACAGAAGTTAAAGAAAGATAAAAGAACAAAACACAAGTCCAAGCTCTGCCAAAACTACCTCAGGAAAAAAAGAACAAGATGCTGATCTTGAAAACATGAAGTTGGATACTTGTGTCCAGACTTAAACCCCATGGAGCTGGTTTAGGATGAACTGGACAGAAGAGTGAAGCAACCTACAAGTGCCACACATTTATGAAACTTCTGCAACAGACTTGGAAAGAACTTTCTGAACAATATTTGATTTTTATTGTAAAAAGAACGAGCAACGAGTGTGTTCAGCTGTTCTATCTGCCAAAGCTGGACACACACATAAATCTAAAGTTTAGAATATGTTTTGGTCAACAGTGAACAGTAAAAAACTGGAAAAAGTGTGGTGTTCTAAAACTTTTGACCGGTAGTGTGTGTGTGAACTGGGATTTTTTGTGCTCACAAAAAATTAAGACAAAACACAGAAACAGAGTGAATGCAGCTGATGTGCTGCTGCGTCTCCTCCTGCACCCGGACCAGAAAATGCTACAAAAACACAGACAAGCTCACCTATCTTATTAGAAATGTTCAAATGTTAAGACATAGTTTGTATAATTTATAATCTTTTTGTAATTATTTTATTGATTGATTTTTATTTTGTTCCAGTATTGTTGGTTCAATTAATTGTTGAAAAGAAAAAGAAACGTTCTACATTTAATGTCCAAATAGGCGACTTATGGATCCTTTTATTGCTGCTTCAATGACAGTTTTTCATTGTTTCAAACTTGAAACAAAAACAAAATTGTTCAGAGACACGATCACTCACTGAAGAATAAAATATCCTCATTAATGTTCAGTAATGGTCAAATCCACCAGGAAGTTTGCATGTGGCTCTTCCGACTCCTACTGACCCTGGCTCTCATTGACTTCCATTGGAATACTGTGGCTCCTCTCTCTGTACCTGCTGCTGTGAGCCGCGTCATTTTCATCTTAAAATGTTTGTATTAACCCTCGACACGTGATCCTGGGGTTTTTATTTCTCTACTTTGTCCATAAAAAAATCCTACTCATAATATAGAGTCGGACTCCAGATTCGCTCCTGTAACCTTCAGCATCGTGAGCTTCATTTGAGTGGATCTGTGGATGACGTCACATTCACTTAAACCACTTTTTATACAGTCTCTGAGTAATGCAGGAAGTGCTCCGATGGAGTAAGAATAATCCTGCACGGATTTCTATTCTATGTGCACAGATATTTGTGAACGCTTTCTTACTCCATATGCTCCACTATGTTTTTAAACTCCAAACACCTTTTCAGCCCTGGAATTGCCAGTCTACTGAACTAAAGGGGAAAAGTAACTTTTAACTTTAATTGCTTCATGACATCACAAGGTGATGCATTTTGAGCTTTGGAGATGTAGACAGACTAATAAAAAAGGTTAACTCAAACATGAAACAAAACACAAGTCCAGGTCTGTTTCTGAAGAGGAAACAACATTCTGACATAAGAGTCCATTTAGTGTCATATAGGACCTTTAACCTGCTTTGCAAAGTGACATGTAATCACTGTTCTTAATGTTCTAGATGTGTAATGGGCCTAATAAACTGCATATTGAGCACTAAAGTGAAATCTTTCAGATGTGTCACATTTGTGTCATAACATTGGAGTGTGTTGAAACATGTGCAACAATGTCTGTGTATTGCCATGGTTTTGTGTTGCTAATTTTGTACAGGTTTAATAAAAGTACTTTCAAATCATCTGCTGTGTCTGCTGTCATATGGTGTGATTTGTGACATCAGTAAAGGGATTTTAAACATTTGATCTTCTTAGAACATATTAACCAGATTTCATGACATTTTAAAGTTCATTGTCAAATATCAAATCAAAGGGGCAAAAATAAAGACGCCAACATGATGCCGGACTGTCAGAGGGGTGGAGAGGGAACCTGATTCATTTGTATTACACTTCCAAGTAAGTATTGCTCTTGGCAGTGCAGTACTTGTGATTAATTGTGTTGGATGATGAAATTTAACTCAAGTACGTCAAACAGTATTTGAGTTCCTATTTTCAGTGATTCTAGAGAACAGACTTTTGGAACAAATCGAAGTGCTTTACACAATAAGAAAGAAATAAAGTACAGAGTCAGAGTAGAGTTACTTCAAAATAATATTACACAAATAGAAGTACACAGAAGAGTAGTGGTCCAAGGAATTACTCAAGTAAGAGTAAAAAGTTTATAAAAATAGTTGAGTAATAAGTACTTACCTAAAATGTTTTCATTTATGTTCAGTATTCAAAGTAAATGTGGAAGAAGTAGAAAGGACTCTGCAGTACATATTTGATCAAAGCCTAAATGTACCTGAGGTTTGTATTTATGTATTTAATAGGAACAGTGCATCTTAATGAACATCTACAACACATTTTCACTTCATTTGTACAGTTTGCATGTTCTGCCCATTTTCTTCAGTCATTCATTAATCACTGAATCACAGCACCTTTCAACACACCCACAGCACTTTACACAGCATCAGTCACTCACTACTGTAGCCACAGCTGCCCTGGGGCAGAAAGACAGACTGCTTCACCACTGTGCACTATACACACACACACACAAGCACCCCCCCACACACACACAAACACACATGTTCTCACACACATAATGCACACACACGCACACGCACACAGACATATACACACACACACGTTCTCTCACACACACACACACACATACACACCCTACACACACACGCACATACATGTTCTCTCACACACACACACCCACATACATGCACACACAAGCACCCCCCCACACACACACAAGTTCTCACCCCCCCCACACACATACACGCACACACACACACACACATGTTCTCACACACACACCCACACCCACGTTCTCACACACACACACAAGCATCCCCCACACACACACACAAGTCCCCCCCCACACACACACACAAACACACACACAGTCCTGCAGGATCCTGGCTCAGATCTGGACCTCTAATACCTCAAAACAGCTGTTGAATAAAATCTGAAATAATGTGTACCTCCACCCCCCCCTCAATCCTCATCTCTCTCTTTCTTCTCTCTCTTCTCCCTCCCTCTACTACTCTCTCTTTTCTCCCTTCTCCCCTCTCTTATACATCTTTACTGTCTTTCTTCCCGTCGCTCTGTCTCTTTTCATTTTATTCCTTTCCTGATATCCCCCCTTCTCTCTCTACCCCCCTCCCCCTCCAATCTCCTTGTCTCTTCCTCCCTTTTCTCTCTTTCCTCCCTCTTGCTCCTTTCCTCCCTCACTCCCCATTCTCTCTCTTCTTTCTCTCTCTCTCTGCATTCTTTCAGTCCGTTCTAAACCCTCTCTCCTGGTCTCTTCTTTAGCGGTGGTCTCACATCTGCTCTTCTCCTCTTGTGTGTCATGTGTCTCGTGTATTTTCACTACAGCCAATAAAGCCATGATTAAAGCAAAGTCACTTACACTAAATACATCACAAACATGTGTGGCGGTCCGAGGGCTTCTACCTTGATGTCTTGGAATAACTACTGACTGAACCAATAATTACCATTAACATTTACATTAACATAACACTTAATAGAGGAAAAGAACCACCACCACCCCCTGGAAGTCGGCCCGGGACCAGCAAATAGAAAAGGCACATAAGTTTGTTGTTGATGAACAGAGGCATGATTCACATATGTCAACAGTGTACAGTTTATTTATACATTTTCCATAAATTTGTTCATCGTGACAGTGATGTTTCCAGGAGTCAGGACAATTTGGTTCACTGTTCACTGAATGACTCTTGGTTCCAAAGACAGTTTGTTTGTAAATCCAGTCCGAGTTCAAATCTCCAGAAAATACTGGTTCACAGAAAAGGCAAGGAAAGGAAAGGCAGTGACAGTGCACTCAAGATCTATAAAGTCAAATGCACATTACCCCCAATTGTACAACTATGAGATAGTTTGGAGGTGTGATATTTCGCCCCACACACACACATGTATTAGTCACAAGATGAGTGGATGGACACACACCAGACAGTCAGCCCACCCGTCACCCGGCAGACAGGCACTACACAAACACCACAGGAAACATAGGCCTATGGCAGCAAGCACTAAATAAAAGTAAATAATCAACACTATAGACCTGAATCTTGAACTTAACACTGAATATGACATCAGTAATATGCAGGGTCAAGACTTCTTTTTTCTACATTCTAATGTTCAGTTTTTTTGGGCTCCTTCAGCTTCAGCTGTGGCCTCATGCACAAGTGTGGTATCAGAGGACCCTTCAAGACTGTGTCTAAATGACCCCAACACTGAAGCACAAAGCTTTATGTAACAGTCAGCAGTCCACTTACTCTGGTCACCTTCAAAAAAGAGTACGACCATCACCCATTTTTGAATGGCCATAAAATCTACATAGATTCATATTTCATATTATGTTCTCCTGGGGGACTTCAACGCCCACGTGGGCAATGACAGTGACACTTGGAGAGGGGTGATTGGGAAGAACGGCCTCCCCGATCTGAACCCGAGCTGTGTTTTGTTATTGGACTTCTGTGCTAGTCACGGTTTGTCCATAACAAACACCATGTTCGAGCACAAGGGTGTCCATAAGTGCACGTGGCACCAGGACACCCTAGGCTGGAGGTCGATGATCGACTTTGTAGTCGTGTCAGCTGATCTCCGGCCGCGTGTCTTGGACACTCGGGTGAAGAGAGGGGCTGAGCTGTCAACTGATCACCACCGGGTTGTGAGTTGGGTTTGCTGGCGGAGGAGGAAGCCGGAAAGACCTGGCAGGCCCAAGCGTGTAGTGAGGGTCTGTTGGGAACGTCTGGCGGAGCCCTCTGTCAGAGGGACTTTCAACTCGCACCTCCGGGAGGACTTCTCCCGGATTCCGGGGGAGGCTGGAGATATGGAGTCCGAGTGGGCTTCATTCTCGGCCTCTATTGTCGATGCGGCTGCTCGGAGCTGTGGGCGTAAGGTCTGTGGTGCCTGTCGCGGCGGCAATCCCCGAACCCGGTGGTGGACACCGGAAGTAAGGGATGCTGTCAAGCTGAAGAAGGAGTCCTATCGGGCCTTGCTGGCTCGGGGGACTCCTGAAGCAGCTGACGGGTACCGGCGGGCCAAGCGTGCTGCAGCCCGTGCGGTTGCGGAGGCAAAAACTCGGAGCGGGGAGGAGTTCGGGGAGGCCATGGAGAAGGACTATCGGACGGCCTCAAAGAGATTCTGGCAAACCGTCCGGCGCCTCAGGAGGAGGAAGAAGTTCTTCGCCAACACTGTTTACAGTGCGGGGGGAGAGCTGCTGACCTCGACTGGGGACGTTGTCCGGTGGTGGAAGGAATACTTTGAGGATCTCCTCAATCCCACCGTCACGTCTTCCGAGGAGGAGGCCGAGGCTGGGGACTCGGAGGCGGACTCGTCCATCACCCTGGCTGAAGTCACTGAGGTGGTTGGCAAGCTCCTTGGTGGCAAGGCTCCGGGATTGGATGAGATCCGTCCTGAGTACCTTAAGTCTCTGGATGTTGTGGGGCTGTCTTGGCTGACACGCCTCTTCAACATCGCGTGGCGGTCGGGGACAGTACCTCTGGACTGGCAAACCGGGGTGGTGGTCCCTCTGTATAAGAAGGGGGACCGGAGGGTGTGTTCCAACTATAGGGGGATCACACTCCTCAGCCTTCCCGGTAAGGTCTATGCCAGGGTACTGGAGAGGAGAATCGAACCTCAGATCCAGGAAGAGCAGTGTGGTTTTCGTCCTGGCCGTGGAACACTGGACCAGCTCTACACTCTCCATCGGGTGCTCGAGGGTTCATGGGAGTTTGCCCAACCAGTCCACATGTGTTTTGTGGATCTGGAGAAGGCATTCGACCGTGTCCCTCGTGGTGTTCTGTGGGGGGTGCTCTGGGAGTATGGGGTCCGGGGCCCTTTGCTAAGGGCTGTCCGGTCCCTGTATGACCGGAGCAGGAGCTGTGTTCGCATTGCCGGCAGTAAGTCAGACCTGTTTCTAGGCGCAGTCAGGGGCCGGAGGGGGTCCGGTTTGGGGACCACACGATCTCATCTCTGCTGTTTGCGGACGATGTTGTCCTGTTGGCTTCATCGAACCAGGACCTGCAATGTGCACTGGGGCGGTTTGCAGCCGAGTGTGAAGCGGCTGGGATGAGGATCAGCTCTTCTAAGTCTGAGGCCATGGTTCTCGACCGGAAAAAGGTGGCTTGCCCTCTCCAGGTGGGTGGGGAGTCCCGCCTCAAGTGGAGGAGTTCAAGTATCTCGGTATCTTGTTCACGAGTGAGGGAAGGACGGAACGTGAGATTGACAGGCGGATCGGTGCAGCTTCGGCAGTGATGCGGTCGCTGTATCGGACCGTTGTGGTGAAGAGGGAGCTGAGCCGAAGGGCGAAGCTCTCGATTTACCGGTCAGTCTTCGTTCCTACTCTCACCTATGGTCATGAGCTCTGGGTAGTGACCGAAAGGACGAGATCGCGGATACAAGCGCTCGAAATGAGTTTCCTCCGTAGGGTGGCTGGGCGCTCCCTTAGAGATAGGGTGAGGAGCTCAGTCACACGGGAGGAGCTCGGAGTAGAGCCGCTGCTCCTCCACATCGAGAGGAGCCAGTTGAGGTGGCTTGGGCATCTGTTCCGGATGCCTCCTGGGCGCCTCCCTCGGGAGGTGTTCCGGGCATGTCCCACCGGGAGGAGGCCCCGGGGAAGACCCAGGACACACTGGAGGGACTATGTCTCTCGGCTGGCCTGGGAACGCCTCGGGGTCCCCCCGGAGGAGCTGGAGGACGTGTCTGGGGTGAAGGAAGTCTGGGAGTCCCTGCTTAGGCTGCTGCCCCCGCGACCCGGCCCCGGATAAGCGGACGAAAATGGATGGATGGATGGATAAATTCATATTTTTTTCTACTTTCAAAACTCAGAAGACCATTCAAAAATGGTGACAGTGGAGGGTTCCTAAGGTGATAAACATACACTTTTGTTCTAGCCTTTGAACTGAACATCCATCCATTTTCTTCCGCTTATCCAGGGCCGGGTCACGGGGGCAGCAACCTAAGCAGGGACTCCCAGGCTTCCTTCACCCCAGACACGTCCTCCAGCTCCTCCGAGGGGGAGGGGGGGGACGAGACTTCTTCCCGGTGGGACATGCCCAGAGGTGTTCTGGGCAGGATAAATAAAGGCCAGAGCAGCGGAGAAAGTTTAGCAAAGCTAACTCCACTAGACTATTACCAGATGAAAGAATAGATTTGAGTAAGAAGGTTACAAGTCCCAGATCCACTAGCTCCATGTAGATCTGCCTCCTCTCTGCTGTAGGTGCTGCGTGACAATGTGTGGCTAATGATTCCTGGGCTGTCACAGTTGCAGAGGCCACTGGGATGCTTCCCGATTTTAAATAAAGATGCCAATCCACAGTGGCCTAATTGCAACCTCGTTAAGACCACTTCATCTCTTCTGCAACTGGACTCACCATTCCTACTATTTTGGACTGAAGGCTGACAGAAGAAAAAGTGCCTGCCCCACCGTTCCTCCTCCCATTCTTTTTGCCATTTATTAATCAGATACAGACACTGTGGGATTCCTGCTTCGCCAATTATACAACCAGATCTATACTTTCTTTCTGAAGTGCTTTTTTGGCCAGAACATCAGCTTCCTCATTTCCCAAAATACCAAAATGTCCCAGGATTCAGACAAACAAAGCTCCTGATCCCAAATTATCGATTCGACTTTATACAGCACAGGATCAAGAATATTAAACCAGGACGAGTCTCAGATGACCTGTGACTAAGGACAGATAAAACTGCAGCAGAATCAGAACACACTATATAATACACAGGGGGGAGTTCTCGAATCCACTGTAATGCCCAAAAAATAGCAAGAAGCTCCACTGAGAACACTGAAAGGTCATCCCCAAACCCACATATGCCCCTTTTTAAACCCGTCAGTAAGAGAATAAACAGCTTCACTCTCACTGAAAATCCTTAAAGCGAACACAAGCTGTCCCTTGGTCAAGTCCAAGTAAGTCAGTGCTGACCTCCAGCTCAGGTAGGTTCCACAAATGTAGAGGAGGCCACACCAGACTCACTACCTCAGTTTTCCACAACCACATAGTTTCCGCCACATTTGCACTATGGGCAAAAAAACAGGCTTTCTCCAGCCTCTTTTCAAAATCCCAACAATGATCAAACAGACACTTAGATGCTAAATTGCTGTGTGATCCTGCAGTCCTAGCCCAATAATGGACTCCTATCTTGTCCAGTCTAAGCCTCAGAGGACATCCACCCATTTCAACCAGTAGAGCTGGGACAGAGGTTGACCTGAAGGCACTAACAGCAGACCTGAAGCACTTTACACTTACCCCATCTAGTCTTTTTAACAAAGACTGACAAGCAGCCACAAAAACTACACAGCCGTAGACAAGAACCCGTCTGACCGTGACTCTGTCGATCAAGGTCAGGACTGAGGCTTTGCCGCGCAGCCTATTTAAGACCGACCTCTACTGGAACAGGAAGTTATTGTCAGGTAAATCTAAAAAGTAAGTGCGCCCCCTGCTGTCCGCCACACTAGAATATGTACATGGACACTATGAACCTACCTGGACCGCTGAGGGATTACACACATATAAGACACATGGGAACAGAAAAAAAAGAATGATTTCATTTTGAAATTTGCAATTTGTATTTTTCTTTATCATCATCATCAAACAGAACAGTTTAAAGCTACCATATTCGACTTTGTCTGTTCCCAATAGACGGCAGGTGGCAGATTTTCAGACAGAAGTGACACAGATAACGTCTGTATGTGAGAAAACAACAGGGGCTGGTCACCTCATTACAAATAGTAGCTTTAATGCCATATTACGAAACATTCAAGCAAAGCAATAACATTTCCTTAGAGACGGCCTGGTAGCAGATGCTCCACCAAAAAGGTTACAAAGTCAACAAACAGGATAAATATAAATAAATTTTCCATTTCCAAGTAATGCAACATATGAATCAGCACTTGTGTATCAGTGATGCATTTGGTCAAATTATGAAATTCGTCCAGTTCATTTTAAAAAGTTGCCAAATATTTGTGTTCCCTATTTGTCCAGTTCCAATGAACACAAATACAGGAGCATGGTTTACAGATGATTCAAGTTGTTTCTCTTCACTGGAATCCACATGATCAGAGCCCGTGTGTTCTTCACCGGACCCTCACGTCCTCCACGCTCCACTTTGTTTGTCATTTACCCAACATGCACCTGGGGATATTAGATCACATTGCCAACAATGCACTGCAACTTTCATTTTCCACAAACTTTATTTCAGCAGCAAAACACATTTTCACACAAAAGAAGTAAATATGTTGCTGTTTTAGCCACATTGCTGGAGATAACACTGTTATAGGATGGAAGTGCCATCAGGACAAACTGGTGTGAATCTGCACATGTATGTGGAGAAAAGGGGACACAGTCAGACCAAGACTTGAATCTGATGGGTCGAAGTGTCAGCGGAAACAAGAGTCAATCTTGAGTTAAATCCAGCTGAGAGAAAAGCACAGAGATCTTCACTGTCCACACAGGCACAAAGCTCTTCCCTTCCACACATCTTTCACAAACTAAACTCACAAATGAAGCCGTAGTTTTCAAGTGAACAGCTTATTTTCCCTTTTGTTCAGTAGAGATGATCAATACCAGAGCTGAAGTGAAGGTGTATGTAAAACACAGTGGCACACTTCCTGTATCACCACATGACATCATAAGTTGGAACAGAGTGTTTTCTATTTGAGAGAAGAACTCAGCCAAAATATGCAGGTTTGTGAGTTAAACATGTGAATGAAACAAACACAACTCTGGTTCTGTTTGTGATGTGGGAACAACATTAGAACATTGATCAGAACATAGTGTAATCGAGTAAAATAGTGTAATCGAGTAAAATAGTGTAATCGAGTAAAATAGTGTAATGGTGTAAAATAGTGTAATATGTGCTCTTTAATGATCATACAATCCTCTGGTAACAGCGCTGGCAGATAGACACTTGACTCATGTTCATTAAAACTGACTTCTATCATATTTGATCTGGTCACGTGACACGGCGCAGTCGCTCTATCCGCAGTCTGTTCGCTCTCCGTTGATGCACGTGTGAGCGCGTGAGGGGCTGTCTCCAGGGGGCGCTACAGAGTGGTCTTTGGAGGAAACCCTTAAAACTGAGAAACACCGGAGTGAAGAAACTACTGTGCGTCATGTGCGTGAGTGCTCGCGTCTGGGCAGGCTGCGGACCACGCCCCCTCCACACGAGCGCGTACAAAAGCACGCACGCGCTCGGAGCTGGACACTAACGTTCCGCAGTGGACCAAAGACACTTCACAGACGATCAGGAAAACACGAAGAGAACCAGCATGGCTCAAGGTATGAAGTATTATTCTGACTGTTTAGACATCCACTTCATATTGTGTTTTATTGAGCAGGAAAACTACTGTCTGTGCAGCCCAGGTATGTAGGATTTATAATAAGAACATTTTGATTTGATGCTACTTCCATGAGCCAAAGTATCAACCACTACTCGAGTCAATCAAAACAGCGTTACAGATATCGGGTGTATATTGCTGGATAGGTATTATTTGATTAGAAAAAAAAAAAAAAAAAAAAAGTAATTGCAGCATAATTGTGTTATTGTTAGTTTTCACTGATTCAGTTACAGTGTTTTAAAATGATGAGTTTGAAAATGATGTCCTTATGTCCTACCATAAGGACACGTTTTTTTATTACTGATACCTGCTTAAATGAGTATCTAGTTTCTATATTTATAATTGATAAGTATCTGATTTTTGACAACCCTGTGTAGTAGTAGTAGTGTGTAGTACTACTGTAGTATTATTTGTGCCACTGTTGTAGTTACTACTGTGTTGTAGTAGGAGTCAACAGCTGATGTGAAGGGCACTGCGTGTACAAATCCCCAAAGTACTGTGGTATTTTAAGTACTGGCCCCTGGAATATTCTGATCTGAATGTACTTTTAGAAAGTGCAGTATTTTGAGGCACAGTTTTAAACCACAAACAAAAAAACTAAACAAAACAAAAAAACAAAACAAAACAAAATATTGAAACATATTGATCAAATCTTGATTGCTTGTGAATTGCTAAATGCGTCAATTTAAATATATCACCATGATTTCCCTCCACAAACATCAAACTCTCCTGTCTTATTCCACATAAAAGCTGCAAACCCTCTAGTTTAGATCTGTACAAACATGCTCTGAAATATCTTGTATCAGTTTGTCAGTTCAGATTTCAGTTCATCTTTTCAAAATGTCAGAACAGAACAGAATCCAATTATTAAAATTTACATCAGAAATCTAATCCTAATCAGAAAGCTTGTATGAAAAAAGGAGGACATTATATGATACATATATATTCAAAGTGTGAGGATTTCACTTGTATGAGGTTTTAACTGTAACACATGACATGTTTAGATCATCTTTTATTGTTTTGAAAATTATATATTCACTGAAACAACGTATATAACCTGTTCTGAGTCTCCCCTCCCCCCTTGCTCTCTGACCTAAGTCCCTCCCCCTTCAGAGTGACAGTGCATCGCACTCATGAAACTATTATTGGTTTGTGAAGTTGTTGTGTACAGTTTTGTATCATGTGTTTGTATATTTATGGAGAATTGTCGTGTGGGAGCCTGGGGAAGGAGCCTGAGCTTGTGCGGGAGGTTGAGCGTTACCGACTAGATATAGTCGGCCTCACCTCCACGCACAGTTTGCGCAGGGAGCGGCGGCGGGCTGGTGTGGGCCTGCTCATTGCCCCACAGCTCAGCCACTGTGTGTTGGAGTTCACCCCGGTGAACGAGAGGGTCGCATCCCTGCGCCTTCGGGTCGGGGACAAGTCTCTCACTGTGGTGTCGGCCTACGGGCCGAACAGCAGTGTAGATTACCCGGCCTTCCTGGAGTCCTTGGGAGGGGTACTAGACAGTGCACCGACCGGGGACTCCGTTGTTCTCCTGGGGGACTTCAGCGCCCACGTGGGCAATGACAGTGACACTTGGAGAGGGGTGATTGGGAGGAACGGCCTCCCTGATCTGAACCCGAGTGGTGTTTTGTTATTGAACTTCTGTGCTAGTCACGGTTTGTCCATAACGAACACCATGTTCGAGCACAAGGGTGTCCATAAGTGCACGTGGCACCAGGACACCCTAGGCCGGAGGTCGATGATTGACTTTGTAGTCGTGTCATCTGACCTCTGGCCGCGTGTCTTGGACACTTAGGTGAAGAGAGGGGCTGAGCTGTCAACTGATCACCACCTGGTTGTGAGTTGGGTTCGCTGGCGGAGGAGAAAGCTGGAAAGACCTGGCAGGCCCAAGCGTATTGTGAGGGTCTGTTGGGAATGTCTGGCAGAGCCCTCTGTCAGAGGGACTTTCAACTCGCACCTCCGGGAGGACTTCTCACATATTCCGGGGAAGGCTGGGGACATAGAGTCCGAGTGGGCTTCATTCTCGGCCTCTATTGTCGATGCGGCTGCTCGGAGCTGTGGGCGTAAGGTCTGTGGTGCCTGTCGTGGCGGCAATACCCGAACCCGGTGGTGGACACCGGAAGTAAGGGATGCCGTCAAGCTGAAGAAGGAGTCCTATCGGACCTTGCTGGCTCGGGGGACTCCTAAAGCAGCTACCGGCGGGCCAAGCGTGCTGTGCGGTTGCGGAGGCAAAAACTCGGAGCTGGGAGGAGTTCGGGGAGGCCATGGAGAAGGACTATCGGACGGCCTCAAAGAGGGGCAAACCGTCCGGCGCCTCAGGAGGGGGAAGCAGTTCTTCGCCAACACTGTTTACAGTGCGGGGGGAGAGCTGCTGACCTCGACTGGGGACGTTGTCCGGCGGTGGAAGGAATACTTTGAGGATCTCCTCATCCATCACCCTGGCTGAAGTCACTGAGGTGGTTGGCAAGCTCCTTGGTGGCAAGGCCCCAGGGTTGGATGAGATCCGTCCTGAGTACCTTAAGTCTCTGGATGTTGTGGGGCTGTCTTGGCTCTGGACTGGCAAACCGGGGTGGTGGCCCCTCTGTATAAGAAGGGGGACCGGAGGGTGTGTTCCAACTATAGGGGGATCACACTCCTCAGCCTCCCCATTAAGGTCTATGCCAGGGTACTGGAGAGGAGAATCCGGCCGATAGTCGAACCTCGGATCCAGGAGGAGCAGTGTGGTTTTCGTCCTGGCCGTGGAACACTGGACCAGCTCTACACTCTCCATCGGGTGCTTGAGAGTTCATGGGAGTTTGCCCAACCAGTTCACATGTGCTTTGTGGACTTGGAGAAGGCATTCGACTGTGTCCCTCGTGTTGTCCTGTGGGGGGTGCTCTGGGAGTATGGGGTCTGGGGCCCTTTGCTAAGGGCTGTCCGGTCCCTGTATGACCGGAGCAGGAGCTGTGTTCATTGCCGGCAGTAAGTCAGACCTGTTCCCGGTGCATGTTGGACTCCGCCAGGGCTGCCCTTTGTCACCGGTTCTGTTCATTGTATTTATGGACAGAATTTCTAGGCGCAGTCAGGGGCCGGAGGGGGTCCGGTTTGGGGACCACAGGATCTCATCTCTGCTGTTTGCGGATGATGTTGTCCTGTTGGCTTCATCGAACCAGGACCTGCAATGTGCACTGGGGCGGTTTGCAGCTGAGTGTGAAGCGGCTGGGATGAAGATCAGCTCTTCTAAGTCTGAGGCCATGGTTCTTAACCGGAAAAAGGTGGCTTGCCCTCTCCAGGTGGGTGGGGAGTCTTTGCCTCGAGTGGAGGAGTTCAAGTATCTCGGTATCTTGTTCACGAGTGAGGGGGAGGACGGAACGTGAGATTGACAGGCGGATCGGTGCAGCTTCGGCAGTGATGCGGTCGCTGTATCGGACCGTTGTGGTGAAGAGGGAGCTGAGCCGAAAGGCGAAGCTCTCGATTTACCGGTCAGTCTTCGTTCCTACTCTCACCTATGGTCATGAGCTCTGGGTAGTGACCAAAAGGACAAGATCGCAGATACAAGCGCTCGAAATTAGTTTCCTCCGCAGGGTGGCTGGGCGCTCTCTTAGAGATAGGGTGAGGAGCTCAGTCACATGGGAGGAGCTCGGAGTAGAGCTGCTGCTCCTCCACATCGAGAGGAGCCAGTTGAGGTGGCTCGGGCATCTGTTCCGGATGCCTCCTGGGCGCCTCCCTCGGGAGGTGTTCCGGGCATGTCCCGCCGGGAGGAGGCCCCGGGGAAGACCCAGGACATGCTGGAGGGACTATGTCTCTCGGCTGGCCTGGGAACGCCTCGGGGTTCCCCCGGAGGAGCTGGAGGACGTGTCTGGGGTGAAGGAAGTCTGGGAGTCCCTGCTTAGGCTGCTGCCCCCGCGACCCGGCCCCGGATAAGCGGAAGAAAATGGATGGATGGATGGATGTCGTGTGGGAGCATGGGTGACATAGGCTTGTGGGTGGAGCCTTGTACAGAAACTTTCGGTAACGAGAGCTTGAACAGTGCCCAGGAGAGAGCACTGGAATACTCAAACATGCATGGATGACATCTAAAACCTCTTCAATCTAGTTTTTGATGAGGGAACAACTTTATAACAAAGTAGAAAGTTCCAAAATCTCTTAAACATAATACTCCCTCATTAAATAACACTTGTTTTAGCTGCGCAGAATGTGATGTTCACTTTCAGCTTGTTGTACCCACATCTCTGGAAAAGGTGCGTGCTTCTCTGATGTACTATAACAGGTCTCTAAAGCTTTTCACTGATTTAGACTGAGAGCAGCTGGAGTTCAAAGTCACTTCCTCCTTTTGTTTTTATGAGGCCACAAAACACAGTACTGCAAATACTTTTGAAATACTTCAAGAAATACTTGTACTTCACATATGAGTCAGGACCGTTCCATTTTCCCATAGACTTTCTGTCAAAAATTATATGAAATGTTTGAATGTTCAGGTTTAATGACTAATGACCACAAGACCAATAATTTTATTTAAAGTCTGTTTTTGAAGCTTTATAAATTGCAAAGTGATTAAAACATTCCACAGTCTTTTCTTTTAAATGTGCTTTTTGGACAGCTGTGTGATGGATAGTAGTTAGCACGTAGCTGGTTGGCCTCCGCGATGGCTTTGAGCTCTTAATATTTGAATTTGTCCAAAGGTCAATGTGAAAAAAAGAATGAAAAATGTACTTCTGAAACCGGAGCGGACTTTGAAGTGGGCAGGACTGTTGAGCTCCATTGCACCTACTCAAATAGTGATTTTGATTTGAAACTGATATATTGTGCAGCCCTGAGTCTAATCCAGCAAAATATGACTAACACTTTACATTTGTATTACACTTCACAGATTTGAAAAGCCACACAAAGCACCTCGCCATCGTTATTCACTCACATGGTTAGATTCTGTGAGCCTGAAAATTTGCCCCTCTGACC